CCTATTGCCATTTTACCATGGAATGTATGATGCGCCTAAACCAACACTGAGAAAGAAAGAATTGAAGGGAAAAAGGCACCAGAATGTTTCTAGTGCTCAGGGTGCCATATTTAATTCCTGACTGTGTGATTCCTGAATAATATTGTGAACTTTCAGTGATAGTTCTTTTAATCTGTTAATACACTTTCGAGTTAAATTGAGTACACTGAACTAATTTTTTTCCTGCACCTGAATTTATACGTTCAAGAATTTTTTTTCGGAAAATGAATACATCAGAATATATCCACTGTAGTTTTTTTAATTAAAATACAGAAAGAGGTTAAAAGAAGTTAAAATAAAATTGGAAAAAAAAAAAAAAAAAACAGTTTCTGAATTTTTATTGGTGCATTAAGAAATTAACAGGTTCTTGTTTTCAAAGGATGGTCGTTAACTGCGAGCATCATCTTTGACGCTGAAATTTGAGCATTTAAACTTCTCAAACCGCCTTTGAACTCTATGATCAGAAATAATGTCTTGTCTGTATACAACAAAAATTTTATGACTAGCATTTTTTCATTTTTTAAAATAAAAGAACGAACACAATATAATGAAGATAAATTTTTCAATTTTCCATTTTTATTGCTGTATTGGAAAAAAAAATGAAACCATAACACACATTAGAATTATGCAATGTGAGCAGAAAAGACTGTATTTACACACTGGCTTTGTTAAAGATCACTCCTCATCAGCAGTAGCAAAATAATTAGAAGAAAATATGATGCAATATGAAAAACCACAGAACTTTTCTGATATTCAGTATATTACCCACAGCTACATATGCATGTTAACCTGTTAAATATTAAATTCTGTGAAATGCACAATAATTAAAAATTAGTTGGCAACCCTAGAACACTAAACGAACATGTATTCTGATTATTTTCCCTCTTCCATACAGGTAACTTTCAAACTTGCCTGACTTCAGTTTCATACTTTACATTGGATAAAAATACACTTGATATATAGAAAAGTATTTTCATTTAGCATTAATTTCATTTAAAAATATTTTCAAATTTCATACACTTTCTCTGGAGTAAAAAGTTACCTAGTTCTAATAAATAATTACATATAAAAATTACAAAGTGAAAACATAAGTTCACACTTTCTCTGGAGTAAAAAATTATGGATTTAACACTTAGTGCCCTCTCCTGATATGTAGAAAAGTGAATATTGGAAAGATTTGATTAAAGATGATTACTAATGTAACTATCCACTAATGAAAAATTGGTTGATCTTTAGATTATGGTAACTTGGCGATTTTTTGGCGAAAATTTGGCGACCAACTCTCCTACAGCAACCCTCTCTTTTTTTTTCCTGCCGCCATTTTGTCTTCACGAAGTAAAGACATGTTTCTTTTCTTTTTATCTACTGAACACTTCTTCCAACAATCTAGTAGCCGAATTAGCACTTATACTAGAAATTTTATCTAACAAAACTGCTTAATCATGACAAATATTCACTGCAAAATTGGGAAAAAGTGCACAATCCCATACTCCTTGCGCGTTTTTCAAAATAACACATACACATAAACCATGTACACGTCGACTTATTTTTACTTAAAAAAACATCCCAGAATTACACAAAAATGGCATTGCGCACACTCTTCACTATATCCATGTACACTGCTTTTTTCTCATAAATTAGAAAAATTTCACGAAAATACATGACAATTTTCTGAATCTTTAAACCTGGTAAAAAAAAACATATATGAAATTACCTGATCGCGAAAAAGTATACCCTTTCCAAATATGAACATTTCCACATATAAAATAAATAAAATATCCAAAAACTTTTACCTCTAAATTATCTATTATATTATAAACATCACCAACGAATTCATACCGCAAACATTACAAATACTTAGTGTCAAATATTTAAATTATTTCCATGCACGTTTACTTCAACTAAAACGTATACCAAATTCCTACAAACATAAAATTCACAAAATAACTATCATTTAATTAAAATATAATTAAATTCAAAAACACTACTTAAAATATAAATAAGCACATACATTAAATTAATAAAAAATAGCTTACAATCCTAATTACTTTAAACTAAATCATTGCTAGTAACAATTTTCCCAATAATACCAAATTACTTTACTTGCACCTTACATTTAGAACAATGCATAAAAATAATATCCTCAAATAATTAAAAATACTAACTTACCTAATCTTCTTCAGAATCTTGCTTACATGGTGGATACACTTTTATTATGGATTCAATACAATTATTGAACGATTTTTTTCACCGAATTTTTCCTCTACACTTCCTCCGCTAAATAAAAAGCAAAATTCTCTTTATCAGAATGCCTCGGAATGGCGCTTTTTATAGCACTCCACGTGCCTTCTACTGTATTGGTATGTGCACCTGTTTCCGGATCTTTAAAATAATATTTGTGGTTCACAGCAAGATGTTTAAAACCTTCATCTTCCAAACATTCATACGATTTCCAGCAATCTGAAATAATTATAGTACCCGGTAGAATATATTCTTTTATAAAACTTAATAAACAATCTTGACTTCTATCTCGCACAACCTTAAAAAAACATTTATTACTACCCCTTTCAATCCCACCAAACACCCATTTTCCTTCCACTCTCCTATCTCTCTGATACTTCCGCTTCCCAAACTTACTCTCATCAATTTTCACAATAACATTCATACCACCAAGCATACCCATATCATTTTCGTAAAATTCCACGCACACTTCCCTACAAAAAGAATTCCAATCAGCTGCAGTCCTACTGCTAATTTCTAAATCCGAAATCCAATAGTCAACTGGCAATCTATTCACCCAATAATAAGAAATCAATAAAATCTCACCCATACTCAAACGACTTTCAGCAAACCACGTACCCTTCCTTACACTCCGTTTCACAAAATGTCCATTTTCACCAGATTTCTTGCAGTGCCATTCAAACTTAGCAGTAATATCCTTCCTTTCACACAATCTCATTTCATTCCCACATTTTGGACATTCATACTTATCCGCAATTAAACCTACACTCATGCACCATTCAACCAATTCTTTTGAATTATCACACAAACGCATTAAAAATCTAGAATTCACTTTAGACAGTGCCATACAATCCCAAAATTATTCAACCCTACTTCACAACACACAATGAAGCTTAATACAAAATAATATACAACCACATATATTTTTCCAAATGCCCCCCTTTTCCGATTAAAGAACCGTAATTCGTCCATTAATATCACATGACATATCCCATGATCTCTCATTTCCCTCACACAAAAATAATGCGTAATCGGAACTGAGTACTGCTCACATTATTACCAAAGTCCCAGGTAGTAACCTTTATCGCCTCCAAAATGTTGCCAAACTACCAGTTACCATATTCTAAAGACCAGCCGAAAAAAGGTAATAATTAACCCTAAAATAATAATGCAAAAGTAATTCTAAAATTAAACTATTTCTGCAAGTTCTGAAATTCATTTTTTATTTTTTTATAAAACATCTTTATTATTGTATTCTTGATGAAGTTTGATCTCTTAACAAATATTTCATACCTTCTTTGTTTTCATTTAACTGTTTTCCAATTTTATTCGCAAGTTCATAAAACTGCTGGTAGTTTTTTTTTATCGTGATTTTTCAGTTCAAGAATATTTCTTAGAATTTCTGTGCTTTTCTAGATTTGATTGATGTTGGCTGGTCATTCTTTTTTTTTTTTTTCCTGTATCACTTCTGTTGTCAACCCTTTCATCTTTTAAATTCTTTGTGTCAAGACTTTTATGAAGTGACACATACTCTAAACATTAATGTTCATAATTTACCTCAACTGATGTTTGAAACATTCAATATAATTTGCAATTCCTCAGCTGAATATCTATTTTGTAATGACATTTGAAAGCTTTTGTAATACCTGGTCTAAAAACTGAAAGTCATATTTGTGGGATAACACTAATGTTAGATGGATTATAAAAATAGACACTATGGATGAACTAGGAAAAGCTCCGAAAGGTTTTAAGTCAGATATTCAGTCATTGGTCTTTGGCCAATCTGAGTTTAAGAGCCAGAAACGAGTTTATTAAATGGCAGTTTTTCTACCTTAGTAAACATTTGTTTTGGTTCCTGGAAATTTGAATATATTAAGTGGCTGAGTTTATTAACCAACAAGTTTAATAAGTGGCAGGTACTGTATATAGCATCAATAATATAACATTTGTTATAAATAACTAAATAAAATTTTAATGGCAGAATGAGTTAGAAGCATTTATTATTAAAAAGGGAACAGACATTTTTGAACTGCTACGTTTTTGCAAAAAACAATGGTTTGAAATTATGTGTTACAATGCACTAATGCATTCAATCACTTTTTACAAGAATATCTTCAATTCCCTACATCCTTCTCTTCATTAAATTAAAAACAAGAAGATGGAAACGAAAACTCTGCTGATATGACTATTTTAAATTTAAAAAATACTACTCATATTAAAAGCAACACTTAATAAGGTATATAAAATCATATGAGAAAAATCAACTGTAAATTTAAGACCGAAGTTCTTGAAAAATTTTTATGTAAATATGAGAAAAGAATAGTAGATTTTTAGCATCGACATATAAACATATATGTCCATATACCAATCAGGAAAATAGACAGAAATGAAAGAAATTCTAAAAATGACGGCAAATTTGCATCAGATCACATGCTCCAAATAATATGCAATAAAACGGACGTAAGCATCGATTAAAAAGAAGAAACACTGTAAAAACAAATCAGGTACTAAAAATAATTTTTTTTGGCATTACAATAAAAAAATAAAAAAGTGATTAAACTCAGGTCTATAAAATATTTACCTAGATAAAATAATAATAATAATAATAAAAACACGTTATAACACTGTTTTAGCAGAAAGTCAATGCAAATGATCATTTGAAACGTATAACAATATGAAGAACAATAAATCCAAAATTCAAAAAATTATATGCGACATACACATCAAAAGAAAAGATGAAAGTTTTATAAACGCAGTTCATAAAGCTAGGTCATATCTCTGCGTTCAAATAAGCAATACCAGGGTATTTACATGCTATGAAAATATGAAACAAAAAAAATGCATGATTTTCAAAATAAACCTTTAGTAAATAAAGGATAGCATTAGACATGCTTTCGCAGACGAGAGCGTACTTATTAAATTGCCGGTTGTTTTCGTCCGGGTACTTTGCAAAAGACCAGGATGAGGAATGTCAACAGTTATGGCGTCATACGCTTTGTATTGTTGCCAGGTTTTCTATACTCTAATTTGGATATATATATATATATATATATATATGTATGTGTATAATAATTGTAGTATTGAACGAAGAACTTAAAACACTTAATCATAAAATCAGAGCTTATAGCAATGCATATGTATTTCTTTTCTCTCACACAGTTTCTTCGTCACACACACATATGTATGTAATAATGATAATACTTAACGAAGAATTTAAAACACTTAACCATGAAATCAGAGATTATAGCAACGCTTATTTATTTTTCTTTGCGAACTTGAAGTGTTCTTTAAAAAATTATGGATCTATGAAAAATATATTAATCTTGAAAATAAAAAATAAAAATGCAGTTTAAAAAAGGGGCAACTTACAGCGAAGTTCCTCAACGTTATTTTTATCGAATAGTTGTGAAAATTGTCTATTAAGTTTTTCTTGGTAGTCCTCTAGGTATTTCTTTTTCTGGTTATTTTTACTTTTTGACAGCAAATGCTAGAAGCTCAACATAGCAGACACAACGGCAAAATTAATCAGTTTATGGTGTGTACTCCCAACCGGTAGTGTGACGTTATGTTTTGTTCCGTTATATTATGTGTCTTTTTCCGAATTTAAATTAATATGTTCTACTGTAATTTTTTTCTGAAACATCATGCAAAATTCTTATGATGCTGTTGAAAGCAAGTCCATCTTTTGGAAAAAAAATGATAAAGTCCCGGGGAGGTAAGTCATTTATAAACTGATGTTTTTGTTTTTGCACGAACGTGGCATATTAAATGTTCGTATAAAATTACATTTAATAAAGTATCAGCTGAAGGTATAAGTGATAATTCATGAAATGCCTGATTTACGCCGATTTAATGCCTACGTAATATGAAAAATTTCCGAATTTGATGTCAGAGTTGAAGTTATCCATTTCCTTAATATTTTAGTGTGGAAAAATGCAAGTTTGAAAAATGATTTTTGTTAATTTATGACAGAATGTTTCACTTAGTAAATTTATTTCCTAGACTTTTTGTGGAAATGTCTCCTACACAAGTCTGTTATTGAATTTAAAAACTAGGTTGTTGACTTTTAGTAAAAAAATTTCTGTATTTTAATTATTCGTTATTATGTATGGTGTTGATCGGATATAAATTGCTTTATATTTAATTTAGCTGTTTATTTGTTGGAATGATTTGATTTTATATGTTTTCCCCCCTCTAGACCAGTATCTGCTGTTCAAAATTTGCACTTGATTAATTATTCGAAGTAAGTATATACTTTTTAATTTATTTTTAACTTTGATAGTTTCGTAGTTTCATGATTGCATTACGCTGCTAGTAATTATATATATATATTTAGCTAAATGGTCTAATTTTATAAAACAGTTGTTCTAGTGTTTTTGTGTATAGAAGTTTTATTTCTAATGCTGTACTTAAGCAAATCATTCACATTATTTTTCTTTCTTAGCGATTAAGGTGCTTCCTTATCTTCAGATTTCCAATAATTTTTCTAATTCAGATAATAATTTATTCTTACTTCCTTTAAGGTTTTTTTTGGGGGTGGGTCTTCCCAAGAATATTTCTAAAGGAATGCGTGAATAAAGAGTGTTATTTTTAACTAATAGGAAAACTTATTAGGGTGTTATACTGAAACAGATTCCAAGTATTGTAATTTTTGGTGAAACTCGTAAGAGTAAATCCATTATTTTAGTTATTATCAAAAATTACATTCAGGATCAGTTCTTTATAGTTTGAAATAAATTTAAAGTTGACTTCAGTGCCACAAATTTGTACACTAAAAATGTCATCGAACTAGAGCTGTGGAGTCGGTAGGGAAAATGACCGACTCTGATTCGTGGAAGATTTTGACTTCCTCATAAATATGTAAACACAGGTATTACAGCCAGAGGCATAACTAGGGTATTCAGCACCCAGAGACAACTGAAGATCTTGCACCTCTTTCTGTGTGCCAAGATTGAAAAATGTTTCATTCTAAAATTTCGTAATATCAGTTTGGTGTTCCTGGATGCTGCGCCTGGGTACAGATGCTTCCCCGATTAATCTTTGGATTATGGTAACTTGGCGATTTTTGGCGAAATTTTCAACCCTGCTACAGCAACCTTCTACTTATTTTTTCGGCACCATTTTGTCTTTACGAAGTAAAAACAGGTTTCATTCTTTTTTTTTTTTTTTTTTATTTACTCAACAGTTTTCCAACAATCTGTTAGCCGAATTACGCTTAAGCTAGAAATTTTATGGAACAGAAGTGCTTAATCATGACAATTATTAACTGCAAAATTGAAAGAAAGTGCAGAATCGCAAACTCCTTGCCACGTTTTTCAGAATGGCACATACACTGTACCCATGTACACGTCGACCTATTTTTACTTTAAAAAAATCCCAGAATTGCACAAAAATGGCATTGCGCACACTCTTGACTTTATCCATGTACACTCCTTTTTTCTCATAAATTAGAAAAATTTGCACAAAAATGCAGGAAAATTTTGTGAATCTTTAAAGTCCGTAAAAAGGACATATATGAAATTACCTGATCGCGAAAAAGTATATGTTCATCATGTACTTTCCAAGGATGAACATTTGCACGTATAAAATAAATAAAATATCCAAAAACTTTTCCCTCTAAATTATCTATTATAAACGTCACCTGCGAATTCATAACGCAAACATTAAAAATGGTTGCAAATACTTAAGTGTCAAATATTTAAATTATTTCCATGCACGTTTACTTCTACTGAAACGTATTCCAAAATGCTACAAACATATAATTCACAAAATAACTATCATTTAATTAAAATATAATTAAATTAAAAAACAGGACTTAAAATATAAATAAACACATACATTAAATTAATAAAAATTAGCTTAAAATCTTAATTACTTTAAAATAATTCATTGCTAATAAAAATTTTCCAATAATAGCATATTAATTTATTTATTCCTTATATTTAGAACAATGCATAAAAATAATAACCTCAAATGATTAAAAATACTAACTTATCTAATCTTCTACAGAATCTTCAGTGCATGGCAGATCACAAAATGTCCATTTTCACCAGATTTCTTGCACTGCCATTCAAACTTATCTGTAATATCCGTCCTTTCACACAATCTCATTTCATTCTCACATGTTGGACATTCATACTTATCCGCAATTAATCCTACACTCATACACCATTCAAGCAATTCTTTGGGATTATCAGATAAATGCAATAAAAATTTCGAATTCACTTTAGATAGGGCCATGGGATCCAAAAATTAAGCAACATTGTTTCACACAACACAGAATGAAGCTAAATACAAAATGCTATAAAGTACTGCAGATATTTTTCCAAATTTCCCCCCTTTTCCAATTAAAGAGCTGTCATTCGTCCATAAATGTCACATGACATATCTCATGATCTCTCATTTCTCTCAGACAAAATAATCCGTAATTGGAACTGTGTACTTCTCACATTATTGTCAAGGTCCTAGGTAGTAACCTGTATCGCCTACCAAAATGTCGCCAAACTGCCTGTTACCATATTCCAAAGATTAGCTGCTCCCCCCTAGCTGCGTAACTGGTTGCAGCTCAATTTTAATATAAAAGAAGTAATATTTGCTACAGAAAAAAATAGTGATGGCATAGCAGACTACTTACATTAATTAGCATTTATTATGAAATAGAAAAACTTGAATTAGTAATTTCTAAGAAACAGTATAGCTTCGGCAAGATCTTCTTTGATAGAGAACCGTAAATCAATTAGGATAAACTTCAGAGTTGAAAATAGTATTTCCACATTAACTTGAGTAAGATTAATAACTGTTACTATTAGGGCTACTTCTTGTGACTTTTCAGGATAGATTTGTTTAAGTTCTAAAAGAGGTGTCTTGCAAGAGTAATCGTATTTCTCTATGTCTTCAAGGGCTGTGTAGAAATCTTGTTTGTATTTTTTCATTTTTATATCTAAAGGCTCATGGTTCTTTATTTTCATTCGCTTTGCCATAGCCTTTTTAATATTATCCAAATATTTCTCAAAATCTGATTCATCACTGGAAAAGGATGATAGAAACTCAGTTCCAATGTTGCAGTTTGACTGTCCTGATTCAAATTTTCCAATTGTTCTGAGAATAATTTCATTCTTATTGAAAGTTCGTAGATGGCTTTCTCTGCCTTTTTAATTTGTTTGTCATACAACAAAATTTGATGTATTGAAGCCAGTAAGATCTCATTGTCTAGGAGCAAGATCTCATTGTCAGTTTCTCTTTTCTTCATTGAGAAAATAATTCCTTTTTCAATAAGCACTTCCACTTTAGAAAGAACAAACATCACATTCTTCCATTCTCACAGAAACAGGCCTCCTGTTAATTCTTCAGATTATAGCTTTTTTGGGTTGATATTTGGATTATGGTAACTTGGCGATTTTTTGGCGACCAACTTTGCTACAGCAACCCTCTATTTTTTTTTCGCCGCCATTTTGTCTTCACGAAGTAAAGACATTTTTTCTTTTCTTTTTATTTACTCAACACTTTTTCCAACAATCTACTAGCCGAATTACACTTATGCTAGAAATTTTATGTAACAAAACTGCTTAATCATGACAAATATTAACTGCAAAACTGGAAAAAAGTGCACAATCGCAAACTCCTTGCACATTTTTCAGAATACCACATACACATAAGCCATTTACATGTCGACTTATTTTTACTTAAAAAAACATCCCAGAGTTGCGCAAAAATGGCATTGCACTGCTATTTTCTCATAAATTACAAAAATTTGCACGAAAATGCAGGAAAATTTTCTTAATCTTTAAACTCTGTAAAAAGCACATATATGAAATTATCTGATCGCGAAAAAGTATATACCCTTTCCAAGGATGAACATTTCCACGTATAAAATAAATAAAATATCTAAAAGCTTTTACCTCTAAATTATCTATTATATTATAAACGTCACCAATGAATTTATACGCAAACATTAAAAATAGTTACAAATACTTAGTGTCAAATATTTAAATTATTTCCATACACGTTTACTTCAACTGAAACGTATACCAAATTCCTACAAACATAAAATTCACAAAACAACTATCATTTAATTAAAATATCATTAAACCGTGTACACGTCGACTTATTTTTACTTAAAAAAAATCTGAATTGCACAAAAATGGCATTGCGCACACTCTTCACTATATCCATGTACACTGCTTTTTTGTCATAAATTAGAAAAATTTCACAAAAATGCATGAAAATTTTGTGAATCTTTAAATCCGAAAACGAACATATATGAAATTACCTGATCGCGAAAAAGTATATACCCTTTCCAAGGATAAACATTTCCACGTATAAAATAAATAAAATATCCAAAAACTTTTACATCTAAATTATCTATTATATTATAAACGTCAGCAACGAATTTCTACCGCAAACATTAAAAATGGTTACAAATACTTAGTGTCAAATATTTAAATTATTTCCATGCACGTTTACTTCAACTGAAACGTTTACCAAATTGCTACAAACATAAAATTCACAAAATAACTATCATTTAAGTAAAATATAACTAAACCATGTACACGTCGACTTCCCAGAATTGCACAAAAATGCACGCACTCTTCACTATATCCATGTACACTGCTTTTTTCTCATAAATTAGAAAAATTTCACGAAAATGCATGAAAATACTCAACGTATACTACTCAAACGTATTCCAAAATGCTACAAGCATATAACTCACAAAATCGCGATCATTAAATTAAAATATTATTAAATTAAAAACACTACTTAAAATATAAATAAGCACATACATTAAATTAATAAAAATTACATTACAATCCTAATTACTTGAAACTAAATCATTGCTAATAACAATTTTCCAATAATACCATATTAATTTATTTACTCCTTACATTTAGAACAATGCATAAAAATAATATCCTCAAATGATTAAAAATACTAACTTACCTAATCTTCTTCAGAATCTTCATTATGTGGCACGCACACTTCCCTACAGAAAGAGTTCCAATCGGCTGCAGTACTTCTGCTAATTTCTAAATCTGAAATCCAGACAAAATAATTTTTCCAAATTTACCCCCTTTTCCGATTAAAGAACTGTAATTCGTCCATTAATGTCACATGACATATTTCATGATCTCTCATTTCCCTCACACAAAATAATGCGTAATCGGAACTGAATACTTCTCACATTATTACCAAAGCCCTAGGTAGTAACCTTTATCGCCTCCAAAATGTCGCCAAACTGCCTGTTACCATATTCCAAAGAACAGTCCTTTTTTGTGGCTATGTACAGTGTAGAAAGAAGAGTTTCCAATTCTGCAGGATCATTCCACAATCTTTCTGTTAGTGAAACATTAGGGTTATCTTCATCTTCTAAAAAGTTGTTCATTCTAACAACCTCTTATTATCAAATATGTACTTCCCCATTGCGTTGCTCAATCTGTAATTTGTCTTTTTCCTGCTTGCCTCCTAAGAATGGCATCAATTTTGGGAGTTCTTGTTGCTATTGCTGCTTGCCTAAATTTATCAATGAGATTTGTAGCATGGGGTTCCTTCAACCCATCTCTAACAAGCAAGTTGTGGACTGCACAATGCATTTACTAGATTTGGCAGAGTTTTGATGCCTCTTTGGCAACATCATCTAAAGCTTCATGTGAATATTCTTGAGAAGTTTCAATATCTAAAGCAGTCCTTTTTTCATCTATTGCAACAATTTCTTCATCTTTTGTATTGTTTTAAGCATATTACATACATTATCAGTAATTATGCAAAGAATCTGCTCTTTCCTTTTTTCAAATTCTTTTAAAACTTCTTCATTTAATTTCTGGAGACAATGGCTATCATAAATTATCCTACAAAAATGCCAGCGTTGAGCAATGAAATAACTAAGTGAATCAATTTAATGAATAATGACAAATATTGTATCAGTCCTCCTCCCTTATATTTATTTATTAATATGTCGATAAAATAGAAAATAACTAAATATATATTGATGTACGTATATAGTCCATAAATAATTCAGTTTGTCGTAAATATTTCTTTTTCAGTTCACTTTAATTTCATTTCAAATTCAAACAGTCCAACAAAAACTGGAGTCAGATTTGGAATTGACGTGTTTTTAACAACGCCAGTTTGGACTCCTTTTACCCAAAATTACCTAACTTCGACTCCACAGCCTGGCATCAAACACCATGTGTTACGTTGAATAGCCTGTAATGCAGAAGTGTTCATCTTATTCTGAGCATTTATAATAAGCAAATAAAAGTAACAGTCAAGGGCTTTGTAAAAGTTAAGGGTTTTTCAGAAGAGTTTCTTTAAAAAATTGAGTATTTTGTTCAAATTTTAATTGACAGTTTTAATGATATATGTTGTCATAAACATATTTCATCTTGTATAAATAGTTTTCATCCAAATATGAAAGCTTCTCAGCTAAAGGTTGCCAAAAGTCTTTTCTTTGAAGGGGAGTTAATCTGTGCCACAATCATGTTGTTAATTCCAGTTATTAATAAAGCATGTGAAAATTTTCATGTTATTTATTTATTGTTTTTTAATTTGCTTCCAGAAATAACAGTCCAAAGAAAGATTCAAAATCTAAACATCGGAAAACTTCTTCTTCCAGTTCATTTCAGGAATTTCAAGATAGTACAGAAGATGCATGGGATATTGGAGATGACGACTTTTGCCTTACTATGGGTATTATATTTTTTAGCAGCATTGAATATTTTGTGTGTGTGTTTTTATGGGGCTCCAGTTGCCAGATGCAATAGCTTGTTTATATTGCATCATGAATAGTCGTGCAATGATGTTATTGTGAATAAGCTGGAAGAATGAAGTATCCAGGAATTTTCTTTCCAAGGTTTTCAGTTGCTTAAGCAGATGAACTGGCAACTACTACATATAAATATTTGCAAATTAACAAATACATAATTCTATTGATTGAAATACAGGATTTTATGTGGAAAGTGGCAAAATAAACTTCAGTTCATCATCATCTAGATGATGATGGCCACAGATGCCTTATTCAATTCATATTGTGGTGATTCCATGAAAAACGAGATATATTTTCAGCAAAGTTAAATCGACAGTTTTATACCTTCTGTATAATTTAAAACTGATGTTATAAAATCTAATTTACATTTATTCTAAATTTAATAAAACAATCATTTTTTTCATTAAGCATTATGTATCATTAAAGTTGCCATCTGGTCAGATTTTGTTGCGAATGTTTATGCAAAATTGTGCCCCATTAACAGAAAGGTATCCTCCCAGGCCTATTAGTAATATTTTGTAAGGTTTTTTAATGGAAATTTTCATCATTGTGAGACATGTTTCTAATAATTTTCTGGATTAGATCTTTTCTTTATCGTTAACTTTATTGTTAAAAATCAATTATGCATTATTTATAATTTTAAGAAAATAAGGAACTTTTAATACTTCTTGCTTTTAGTATATGAAAAAGAAGTGCACATTTGTTGGTTAATACTGTAGTAAATATAGTTAAAGAAAAGAAGAAATACTAGGTTGTTTGGAGAGTTCTTGATCTTTCAAAATGTTCTGGAAATTTCAGATTATCTGTTGTTGAAGAAGATGCATGACAAACTACTTTCAGATATTGCACTTCTTTTAAATATAAGTTTTGAAATGCTTTTGAGTAAACTCTTTACTGCCAGTTATTTAATATGACATCCATATTTAATAAAGTACATGGCCAAAATCTCTAAGAAGTTTTACAAAAATATTGAGAAAATTGCAATTTCAACTTTTGCCATGGTTGGTTACAATATAAATGCTATAAATAATAGGAAAATACCTACAACCAATTTAATGAAAATTAATATAAAATGCTATAATGTGATGTTAAGCAATGAAAAATATTTTGGTCTCCAAAATCAAGCTGTAATTTGAGCACTTACTGCTTGGGAAGCTGACCACCCAAGACTGTCATTTGATTTAGCTAGGACTATTCCTCGTTATAAACTCTGCTGCCTTGCTTCACTGAAATAGTTATTTTGTTTTCCATTTTATGTAACTTTTCTGTTTTTAATTTGATTTTAATTTTCCTTTATTTTATAATTCAGCATTCATCTAAAATTTGTGTGAACAGATATCCTTTTCCTTAAAGTTCACTTTTAATCCAACCAATCAGCTTTCTCTTCCTCGATTGATCAGATGCTTTCGTGACACTAGATACACAGCTTCACAGTGCAATAACTGTCACTTTGCTCCTGAACTCCACAGGCAACGGCAGCACTACAATCAGCGGTACTTACGTATTAACGCAACCAGGCCAAAATTCGCATAAATCGCCAAATTTGGCGACCCTACTTACGGCAACCCTACATGTTTAGACGAAAGTTTATTTGTAAAAAGAAAAAATAACACTGGGCGTGTACTACCACAGCAATGGGTTTTCGGCGAAATTTGCCGAGAAAAGAAAGAGACTTTTTTGGTTACTGTACCTAACAGAAGCGCCGTTACCCTCATGGAAAAAATTTGCGAAAATATAAAGGAAGGAAGCATCATTTATTCGGATTGCTGGAAAGGATACAATACAAGTGAGTTCGAAAATGCTGGATTTCTGCATGGAACTGTTAATCACAAATATAACTTTGTGGATCCCAACACTGGCGTTCACACACAACATGTAGAGCGCATGTGGGGCTCAGCCAAATGGCGCAACAAAAAACAGAGAGGAACAGCCCGTCATCATCTTGACTCATACCTTATCGAATTTATATGGCGCTAAGCTCAAGCTGTTAATGGCGAAGACGGTTTTCAATCAGTGCTAAAAGCAATAGCCAAAAGATTTCCACTGAAAAAATAATTCTGCAACTTATTCACATTTGAAACCGGAAGGGTTTAATTGCTATTTTATATTTTAAAACAAAATAATATAAAAAACTGTATTAAAAATTATCTCTAATTAATAAATGTACATTTTCTTTCTATTCATACTTTTTTATTATATTAAATTCTGTAAAATTTGGTGCGAAATTTACGGAGAAATTCACAAATTTATCTTGCCGTATATTTTTTCGTTTGCTCCAAGAATAATTCACTTGCCAAACTTCTTAATATATTACATCCCATTTTCCCTTCTCTTCCATTGTGAAGGACTAGAAAAAAAGTCACATCGTTTCTACCTCTTTGCATTGTGCATGAGCGGAAAAAAAAAAATCACATTGTTCTCTTTTGAAATAATTTTAACAAAGTGCCTAAACCACATTTAATATTATTATCGCTTTCAACAAATACGCCAAATTTCAAAACGTGCCAATATATAAATTCACGTATATCTTCAGAAATTTTAAATAAAAAATTTTAATTTTTTGCAGGTGTGCTTAGAAATGCATCTACTTGATTGTAGATGATGGTAAAAATGGTTGAAGATGATGGTAAAAATTTTATAGATTATAATTAAAAAATTTTTTTTTTCGGAAAATTTATAAAATTATTATTAAAAATACAAATTTAAAAAAAAAATAAATTATAAAGTATGAGTGAATTTTATTTGGAATGAACCTATTTCGAAATGTTAAAGGAAGAATCAAATAAGTTCAATAAAAAAAAAGAGAGATTAATAAATGTATACTAAACTCAATTAACACTGAGGAGCTAATTTTTTTAAAAACTCCTCGTGCGATTTTTACAAAACTTGGCATTTTGGCCTAATTTCAGTGGTAGAATCGAAATGTGGAAAAAAATTGGGATGTCATTTCAGAAAAAGTCTGATTTGGGTCAAAATACCTATATTAGAGCAATGCTATGTATAAATCGAATACATATCTTAAATCACGCTTTTGAGACATGGAAAACGGAAGTTTAATTTTGTGAATCGGCCCAGTAGAATGGGAGATATAGAACTGTCTCCATCTCTTTTTTCGAAGGGGGGGCACAGTGTACACATACATAAGAAAGAGAGAGATGACGTTATCACCGCATAGATAAGTGTGAACTGTGCACACATCAGGAGAAAAAAACTCTTAAGGTAAACATCGGACATTTATGATACAGCAGTATTCGTAGAGAAGAAAGCGATAGAGAGGTTACTTAGAACAAAAAAGTTTCGATTGACAATTTAGTGGGAATTCTTGACATGGTAATTACAGGAGAATTGAACAAGAAATTATATCTATAACATTATAGAGAAAGTATTAGCACACACAAAAAAAAGTTACGGTTAACAAAATGTTTAATAAAGCAATCAAATTAATATTAAACTTTTTTTGTAAATTTTGATTCCCTTAAAAGGTCACAAATGCTTCATTATTTCATAAACAACTATTTCTGATTTTTAATTTTGTAATTTCTGCATGTCATCTTACTGGATTAAACTGATGATCTAAAGTCCAGACGAGTTCGGATCTCGGACTTTGTTCTATAGTAAACCACTTGGTAAGGCATGTTATCAAGAATTGAAATTTAATGTTGTATGTTTAAAAGCTTAGACAGGACTTTTTAATTGTTGAGATATTATTTTTTTTAAACAAATGTAAAAAAAGTGTCTTCTAAAATGTTTGTCATATGAGAACAAAGAAACTCAAAACATGATAATATGTACAGCAGAAGTTTCAAACACAAATTGCGCACAGGCCAAATGCTCGATCTGAAGGCAACTGACAAGCTAGATTTTTTTTAACAAAATTTTAGAGCATTAAAAAATATACAAAATTTAAAATTTTATTTATTGAATATTTATCAAAACACACATAAACAACAACAATAATAACACAAAAGAAAAAAATTCAAATTTATATAGCTATTCTCTATCTGAAATCTAAAGGTTGGTGACTGCAAGAAATTTTTGTTTGTTATACTTTGTAATTCAAAGATATTGACAATTAAATATTAGACTGACATTTCTTTCTGATTGTTAAAATATGTTGAAGTTACCATTAAGTAACTAACTTTTAATCTTAACTGGAAATTACAGAATATTGAAGCGCCATCAGCTGTTGGCTGGCAAACTAAATATACTGACTTGACCAATGGGGAAATTTTCCTACTTTATTCCAGTCATGTAGCCTTTCGTACAAGCATAAAGTGACAAAACCCAAGCTTAATCCAATTCGTTTTTCTTTGAATAGCATTCACACATATAAACACAGTCCTTTTCTTTATGCTCTCTAAAATTATAAGCACTGTATTTGCGACATAATTTAAATGTATTTGGGGAGCCGCATGCAGCTTCAGGCTGCGAGTTCCAGACCACTGATGTATAGTACAAATGAAGTTTTGAAGTTTTCTATGAGTGGCCGCTTTCAATATGGTGAAAAGAAGTTAAGTTTCAATATTTACATTTATCATATTAAAATATCTTCTTTAAAAGTTGAATGTTGCTTTTAATTCAAACTGTTTCTGTTCTGAGTTACTTGAGAATTAAATAATTTTATGATTTTAATGGCAAAGTGAAGTGCATGTAATTACAAGGGGATCCAAATATGACCAGGACTGTTACCCATTGCAGCGCTGTATGTCTTTGAGCGAGTACAGCCACTTTTTCCACCTTACCTCCCATGCAGATTAGAATTTACATAATTGCGTCTTGCAGTCACAAGTGCAAGAGTGACAAGTGAATATCAACTGTCTGAGAGCATGGAACAATACACTGTGATCAAATTTCTCATTTTAGGCAACATCTAATCATCTGAAATTTAGCAGAGATTCAGAGCGTACTATGGTGAAGAGTGTTTTACTAGGACTCATACATTTCATTGGTGTAAGTGCTTTGTTGAAGGATGAGAATGCATGGAGAACATCTGAACCCCAGCAAACACTAATTGTTTGAATGTGTTTTTTCAAGAAAATAGAAAAATATCGGTATGAAAGAACTTGTGTCAATATTTTCAAGTATTGTTGGTAATCTAAAAACTTTTGTGAAAATAACATTTTCAGTATGGCAAGATTTATGCCTTGTGAACCCCATGCATGTTGACATACAAGGAAAAAGTGATGCACATGCAAACAGCCAGTTCTTTCTTGTGGGGGGTTGAACATGAAGGAAATGCATTTTGAACTTGTCACCGTCATTGAAACATGGGTTCTGTACTTCAGCTCAGAGTCCCAGGCTTAAATCCTGGTTAGAAGGCATGTAGTTTGTTGGAAACAATATGTCACCATCAGTGTTCAGGGTTAGATTCACAACCAACTGAAAAACTTCTATGGAAAGGTCAGGATAATGCATCCAGAACATTAATAAAAAATCTATCAATTTTGGAGGGAAGTATGTTGAAGGAAAAACCCTTTCATTTGCAATACAGATTTTGATTAAAGAATGAGGGAGTCCAGCTTACATTTGAATTACTTTGTTGTATATTACAAAGTAAAATGCACTAAAGACTATTCACATTTTCTAATTGATAAAAATCTATCAATTTTGGAGGGAAGTATGTTGAAGGACAACCCTTTCATTTGCAATACAGGGTTTGATTAAGAATCAGGATAGGAGTCCAGCTCATATTTGAATTACTTTGTTGTATATTACAAAGTAAAATGCACTAAAGACTTTTCAAATTAAAAAAATTCGGTCTTCCAGGTATGGAGGTTCCAGGTTTGAGTGGAGGACTACGTTATTCAAAATTTGATGGTTTTAGGGTCATTGTTTTTTTCAGAATGTGAGAAACATGCATACATTCATGCAGATTCTTCATTAGTGATCCAATGTAAAATGCCATTTCAAGACTAATAGCCCATTCAGGACTGTTATTTCTATTAACAATTATTTGTAATGTATTATTATAAATAACATTAAAAATTAATAATTATTTATAATTAAGTTATATATTCTTATATTCAATAAATATAATTAAATAATTAAATTAAAATTAATAATAAATATGTTAAATTTAATATTTATTTTTGATTTTATTTTTATACTTATTTTTTTGTCTTATAGATGTGTCCATTCATCCTAAAGTCGCTGAATCCACAGCAATGAAAGTCTTAAGTAATCATAGCAGAGGTACTTTAACTTTAACAAACAATGAAGATACCATTTGTAATGATATTACTTCTAAAAATGCTTTGTCTGATAGCCATGATGGCAGTTCTGAAAGCAGTATTCTTGATACTAAAACACCTGCAGTGCAGAGAACAGTGTCAAAAAAAGGTGCTTATTTTTTTTAATCCTTATAAAATTCTTTAGTTAAAATTTTCCATTTTTAGTATTCATATAATGATGTCATATTTATTATTTTGTAAGTGTTTAACTTTTTGTACATTTTAACTTAAACAAGTTTACCCTTAGAGTAGTTTTTGTATTCTGTTCATGCAGCTTTTGCTGTACTTATGAATTAATGTGACCACTTTGGCACAGTTTCGTGATTTTTTACAAATGAAAAGGTGAAAGTGGCCCTTTTTCACATTTTACTTAATCTGCTGTCCCAGAAGAAAAGAAAGAAAATTTGAGATAAATTAATGTTTGAAGTTTAACCCTCTGGCTGATCATCCCACGATTTCTACGGGTGACTCAAATGTAGCAAAATGTGCTTATCTTGCGATTTCCGCAGGCATATGTTTTTCTTCCTTTATTGAGGAGTGCATCTCGTTTTTTCCTCATTTAACCATTGGAATAAATTATATATAGTATTAGGCGTTTAGTTTACGTTTTGGCCAACAGATATCGTTAGTTGTCCACTAAATTGCGGCATTTGAAGGCACGGGGCATTAGTGCTCAAACTTCAATTTTTGCAGCTTTTTTCTTACAGAAATGCCTGCTAGAAAATGCTCAATGATTATCTTAATTATTTAATTAAATTATTGAATTATTAATTAGATTTATAGAATCTGGTGCAAAAACTGTGAAGTTGGACTTTGCCTTGAACCCTGTTTTGAACTCTATCATACTAAACTGCATTTTGAAGGAATTTTTCCCTCAGCACTTTATATTTTCTTAAATTTTATACATTTTACTTTTTTATATTATGCAGTAAATAGAAATTAACTGTAATTCAATTCAAATTTATTCAATTTTTTTTTTTTTTTTTCTTTTTTTGTTATAACATCTGAAATTGTTTTTTTCTGGCAACTTAACAATTGGTTTTTCTGGCATATGATAAAAATCTATATAAAAAATATTTTCTAGGGAAAAAAAGTGTATTTTTCAATTCTCCAATATATATAGATTTAAAATATTCAGGGGGGGATTACACAATTTTGGAAGCAATTTCGGTCCACAAATTGAGCATTCAGAGGGTTAATCTGAGCAATGCATTGCACAAAGATGACTATAAATATATTTCTACAATTTAAAGTATAAAAAAACAATTGGAATTCTTTAGATATAAATCTTAAAAAATGTGATCATAGGCTAAAATACCTGTCCTTTTCAAGTTCCATGTTATTCAACCTCTTTGTTTTGTAACTTTATTTTTTTAAATGATGAAGTTAAATTATATTCAATGCAAACTATTAGTGTGTTATTTTCATGATAAAAGTTAATTACAGTTTTTTCTTTAGCAAACCAATAAAAGTAATTCATCTTCTGCTTCATGTCAAGTCCGTTACCTTGAGATTATTTTACCCATAATTAGTATGTAAATCTGTCTAAAAGAAGCAGTACATATTCAGTGCCACAGCTAAACCAGTCAAGCTAAGTTTGACTACTTTGAATATGTACTCCTCCTTTTTAAACAGATTTACAAACTAATTGTGAGTAAAATAATCTCAAGATAATGTACTTCACATGAAGTGGAAGATAAATTATTTTTATTTATTTGCTAAATTTATATCTAAGAGATTTTTAGTTGATTTTTTTTTTAATATTTTAAACTGTACAAATATATTTATAGCCATCTTTATATTGCTCAAATTAATTCTAAATATTAATTTATCTTGAATTTTCTTTCTTTTCTTCTGAGTTGAAAATTTGAAAATGGTCCAAGTTACTTATCAGGTGAGAGTTGGTGATTTTCATGACATTTTTTAATATTGAAAGAAAAGACATTTTTGTAATTTAAAATACAAATATTTGTGCTTTCTCTTTATCTGCACTCACACTGTCATAAACTTGTTGGTGACTAATTTTTTCACCGAGCTAATTCTCAAAAGACAACAGCCATTTCCAAAATGGAGTTACATTAAGAATTCCATAAAAGAGCAATCAGTCAAATTTTGAAACAGAAAAAGAATCAGTTATAAAATACTTAACTGTTTTCTACAAATCCTCCTTTATTACACCAGGGTTCGTACGGTCCTTAAAAGTCCTTAATTTTTTCAAAAATGATTTTTGGTCCTTAAAAGTCCTTAATTTTGGCCAAAATGAATAAATGGTCCTTAATTTTGCTCATTTGACATTTCTTATCATTTCTAATGATTGCCATTCTAAGTGTGAATTACGATTTCTCATGAATATGGAATTTAAATTACACGGCTCTTAACCAATCTGTTGGCAGGATTTGCGTTGCAAACGATTAAAAAAAAAAAACAATTAGCCTACCTAGAACAAAAGTATCGGTGGTCTGATTGGCTATTCACCCAATCTTTCGAAACAGGTGTTATCCATAAATTTAGGCAGACTGTGACGAAAGCGTGAAGCCGTAAGTTCTTTAAGAGACGAAAGTGATGATGAAGGTGCTCAAAAAAAAAAAAAGGGGGGGAGATTCTGAAAATATTTGCCAAAATTAGAACAATTCCAACCTGGAAGGCCACAACCCTTCCGACGCCAATAGGAACGAGATGCCTGGAAAGTGCATTTTCAATAAACTGTGGCTTCATCAAACTGACTACAAACAATCAAGTTAGCTTGACTGGATATTGATGGATGGCAATCCTTAAATGTGGTCTTTGAAACAAATTGAAATTTCTAGAGTGGGAGAGTCAGCGCTGAAAATTCACATGAAAATTAAGTTTCGTTTTATCATTTCAATTTGTTTTTACACGGTTTTGCTTAGCTTAATTTCTGTGTTTGTTTCAATTAAGCCATAAATTAATTTTTATCACCTTCTACGGAGTTTATTCTCTTTTGCACATACTATATGTATGGGATATCGGGATTATGAGTTTATTTCTGCAGCAGGGTTGTCTGTTATCGATTTCGTGGGAAATCTGTTGGCTCCATTTCGATTTAGGTTGCCAAGGGCAAATTCGGTTAATGCTAGCCGAGAAAAAGTGAAGTTCGGAAATACGTTTTGAAGCTTCAATAGACAAAATTAAGTATTTGGTTTAAACCTATGTTGTTGATAGTAATGCATAATTTTTGCTAATGGTGATACAATTAGTTGAAAAATAACTAATTAAAATTTTTAATATTTTTAAAGCTGAAAACAACTAATTGAAACTAATTTTCCTGAATTAACTAGATGCAAAATTAACTTTCATGAATTACTAAAGTTATTGGGTAGAAGTTTAACTGAAAATATACATTCAGTATTATATATATATATATATTTATACAGTACAAAGTCCGAGGTCTGGACTCGTCGGGACTTCGGTGATCTCAGATTTGAGATTTTTTCGGATATTAGATCATTTTAAATCTACTAAGATGGCACGTAGAAATTATAAAATTGAAAATATGAAATTGTGATTTATGAAATAATGAAGCATTTATGATTTAAAGGGTATCAAAATTTACAAAAGAAAAGAGCTTAATATTTATATGTTTACTTTATTAAACATTTCTTTCAATGTGAGTTGTTTGATTTGTTTTCTCTGCTAATACTTTAGACTAATACTACAGACATATAATTTCTTGTTCAGTTATTAAGTTCCATTGTTCAAGTCCTGTAATTGCTGTGTCGAGAATTCCGAATAACTTATCAATCAAAATTTTTTTCTCGTTCAGTAACCTCTCTTGTTACTTTCTTCACTATCGGTAGCTGTATTTTCTGGATTTAGAACCATACTACAGATTTTGCCCTCCGTTAATTGATTGATGATTGGGCATTGTCATCGCAATGAAAAACTTCTGTTTAACTTCGCTAAATTCTGCTGCCTGTTGCGGCCATGCGAGCTCTGGCGCTGGTTCTGGCTTTATGTGAATAACAAATCAGTTATTCTTAATTCAAATAGAACTAAATATAACCGTTTGTCCTATGAGTATCATTAACAAAATCTATTTTTAGCATAAGGAAAGAAATTTCTGCTAAATCTCCCCTTGTCAACATTTTAGCGCATTAAACTTAAATCTGTAATCGGATAATACTCTGTTATTTGGCGTCGCTGCATGATTCATCACTCAAGTTGTCATCCGTTTATAAACATGCGGTGATGAAAGCAAAATACAATAAATAATGATTCGCGATTTCGGCATCAAGGATATAAAATATTAGTTGCTGTAAAATTAACAAATGTTTCGGTTTGAGATTATGCCAAGCAGATACGCAGCTATGGAGTCAAGTTACTAATCACACAAATTTATGCTAAAATAATTATTTCTTCAATAATGAGATATTTTATTTAGCGCCAAACTGAGATTAAGAATCGGGATTTCCGACATGTTTTTTTATGATGAGGAAAAAAATCTAATGCACAATTGGTTGGTGGTGGCTTTGAAGTCCGGATTTTAGATCATTCCAGATATTAGATGTCCGGATCTCGGACTTTGTACTGTATATATATACATCTTTCAAAATATAACTTACCAGTATGGATTCATTCTTTTAAAATAATTCTACTTTAATTAAACTTAGGAGATAATATAATCAATTAATCAATATTGTTTAGGAAAAAATAATATATATATAATATTATATATATTATATATATATATATATATAATAGTAAAAAATGTATATTTTCACTATTCAAGTATTCACTGTGACAAGTATTCTTATCTTATCACATGAACAGGCCTTTGTGGAAAGGGGCTTCTCTGTAAATAAAGCAATTGAAATTGAAAATTTAAGTGACTCATCATACATTTTTCAACGCACAGTATTTAATTACATAAAATTTTCTGGAGGTGTTCTTAATATCGAAATTAATAAAGAAATGAGATCAGCAGCAGCTTCTGCAAGAAGTGGAATTCGTTATTTGAAAGTTCAGTATTTAGAAGAACAAAAATCTTTAACTAAATCTGAAAATTCAAAGAGGAAAAGAAATATTATTGAGGAAGAAATTGATTATATGAAGCAGAAGAAAAAATTTCTTCAAAGGGACATTAAAGATATTAATGAAGAAGTAGATGCTTTATTAGATGAAGCTGAGACCAGCAGGAACATTGATTTGTTTATCAAAGCAAATGAACTTAAAAGAATAGTTAAAGAAAAGGAAGATTTCAGATTTAAAAAAAGCACAAATGTTTTGTATCTTTTATTGTACAGTTTATTATTCTAGTATCTTTCAAAAAACCAAGGAAATAAATTGTATGTTTACAAATCAGTTATTTTAATCTGAAAAATATTCTTACGTTGTGATTATAATAGTAGTTGACTGTGTTTAAATAAATATCAAATAAGTTAAATAATAATCATGTAAATCTCTAAAATAGTGACTGTTATTAATGTAAAATACACTTATACATGTTTTTCAAGAAATTATGTTTCTAATTTAATGTTATCTACTTCATAACTTGTAGGGAGTTAGTTTAATTTTCAAAATTGTTTTATGGTAAGTATTAAATTGAATTTAATAATAGTGCATAATACACACTTCTGTTAGTTTTTTAAAGTGAAATTACAAGCATGAAGTCGGTTGTATGGATAATTGCTTTATTCTATTCATTTTTTTGTTTGCTGATAGGTCCTTAATTTTTTCTTTGATGGTCCTTAAAAGTCCTTAATTTTCATATAAGGAAATGTGTACGAACCCTATACACTCTTGTTCTTTCCATGTAAACAGTGATCTGCTTTCGCTTCAGAAAACATTAGAGGCCAAAGTAGGTGTGGATAATCAGAAAGTATATCTAATTCTGTTTTTACACAGAATTAACATAAATTCAAAATAAGTACTTAATTCTGTTTTTACACATGCCATTTTTCATTTAACACAAGAAGGCAAAAAATTTCTATTTTTTTTTTTTTTTTTTTTAATCTTAAATTCTTGCAATGGCACACACAGTTGATGGAGAAGGACTTGATAATCTATTTTTTAAAGATATTAGTGAATTCCTGTTTGACAATGCCTTAAGCAAAAATGAAATATTAGAGATTGTCCTTCTAATCCCACAGTACACAGTGATAATGAACAAATAATGCAGCTCAAAATGTAAATTTAATAAAAGAAGGTCTGGAACAGGCCAAAAAATTGGGTAATTGTTTTGTTAAATGTGACCATAATGAGGAACTAGCTGAAAGTTTCATCATAAACTGAAGCTATTGAAAATCTTTTATACAGAATTATGTAGTGGCTTAACTAGAATGCAAACATAACAATTAATTACTGAATTTGTTTGTGAACCCGGTAAAACATCAACATCAGAGGAGACTCATGCCAGTTTTGCTCAAGATCACAGAAAGAATTTCATTAACAAAAGAAGAAGACGATGTTTACAACATTCCTAGTGATAGCAGTGGTATAAAAACCATGTACAAATGCACATAGTACATATTATTAGAAACTGATAGTGTATAAATTCTTGGTATGTGTAAACAGTTTCTTCCTTGTGAATTTCTTTCATTTCAAATGCAAATTTACTTTAATATGCTTTCATTGTATATTATTGTACTTTTATTTTATTAAGTAAAGTTATGAGCTTAAAATGAATAATTTGGTGTTTCTTTTCTAATTATTTTTCTGATTTTTTGAATTTGGAACTAATCCTCTCGTCTTCCATAGATATGTCTTTTTTAACAGAAATATTTTTTGCAGATATTCTTCAGTAATGTTTCTATCATGTAAAAATAACCAGGTTTTAATTATTAAATGAGGATTATATGATACATTAAAAAAATAAAATGTTCGTGTAATTTTTTTTTCCCCGATGTCTCCATATTACAATGATCTATTTTTGCTTTAAAAAACATTGGAGAATTGCACAAATTCTTTCATGCATAACTTCAGCATTTTGCTTTGTGGTTATCTACCAACACATCTCATCTTCAGTCTCTTTCATGGTTTTGCAGTGGAATACTGTAATTTTACCACACTTTCATTATTTACTGAAAAAATCCACAAGTACATATTTTAAAATTGAGTTTAAGAAAAAAAAATATCAGTATTTGTATATAAAAATCATTGCAACTTGGAGTGCAACAAAAAGAACACATGCAGAAATGGGAATGTTTGATTGAAGGATTGCTCTTAGTAGAATGACTGAAGAATTTTTAATGTGCATAATTGCCAGCATTTGGCACATTCTGAATACTTGGCAAGTTTTATTAAGGTGAGTTACCATAATATGTAAGCATGACTTTTGCTGTTCTAAAAAATTTTATGTGTTAAGTATATACGTACTTAATTTAAATTTTACAAACTTTTATACATACTTAATTTGAATTTGACTAAGTCACTTAAGTATATACATACATGTAATTTAAAATAGCACACCAGCTTTGCATGTAAAGTTACGCATAGAAAAATAATTGTTGTATGGTTACAAATTACTGTAATTCATCCTGAGAGATTCGTAATACTGTATGAATAGTACAAGTAGATTTGTTTGAACATTTATTCAAACAAATCTACTTATATTGCTTGTAGAATGCTGCTGGTTGTTTTAAAAAAAATCTTTAAAAATTGGCTTAATTGAAAGTGTAAGAAATGGCAACTCACTTTTGTTCATTTAAAAAAATGTGCAATGTTAAATCATGATCCAAAGTTTTTTTTAATTAATTTATTTTATTTATTTATTTATTTATTTATTTATTGTAGTAAGAGAAATGTAAAAGAAAATTTCTTTATATAAATATTGATTTTTATTAACTTAATTTTGCAGATGATTGCTTTCAAGAACTTGATTCCCATAGCAGTGGTGGGCATCCTCATGGTCCTGGAATAGGAGTTCGTCAGACACATAATAAACAGCCATCCCTTTTTAACTCTCAGAATATCTCACTTTCGAGTTCTGCTGGTTCATCCGAAAGAGAAGCTGCAAGGCTCTTGATGTTTGAAAAGCTACTAAACAGTCAAAACACTGATTTAAGTAAGTTTGGGCTATATAAATGATACTTTAAAATTCTAATTTGTTGCACATTGGATCAGGTTTTAATCAATCATTTTGTATGATATAGTTATTGGCTGTTTCACCTAGGTAATGTCTCCAAAAAATAAATCATATGTGTTGACAATATATAGAAACAGGACAAATAGATTACAATGTACCATAATGCTTTGTACTATAGCATATTTACAAAAAATTCTAGAAATATCCCTTACTCATATCCAGTCACATTCCAAGGTTTCCTTTCATGTTGCCAAAGTTTTCCACAATCATAGCCTCATTTGCACTTTAGTTTAAGTTACTTCACTGATGCTACTGTATGGTATGGTCATGATATACTCTTATGTGTTTACAGATTCATAATGGATTAAATACACACACAACCGATGATAGCTTGATAGAATTTATTTTCTCAAACCCTTTACAGTTCTGGAACTTTTCACAAATGTATTTGTACAGCTCTTCTCGGTATCATAGAGCACAGGAAGTGGTTAATTTCAAACTACTAAGATGTTAAATGCAAAGCGACACGAAAATGTCTCAATACTCCAAACTTTGAACCAAACAACTAAGACTGATGCTCTCTCTGGTATTATGTATTTTACCATTGCCACAGAGAAATATTTTAAAAAATCCAGTACCTTTGATTTTTTTAAAAGCACTGGAAGGCACACTTAGTTCCACTTTCATATAGGGCCAAATGCAGTTGTAGTTACATAGGAATCAGACAAATAACAGTTATTCAAAGATTAGAGCAAAGAAACATTTTGGAGATTTCTTTCCAAATTGGGTGATAAGAATTAGTTACCTAAACCATCTAGTGTTAATTATGTACTTGTCCCTGTAATCTTATTTTTCTGGCGAAGCTTCACTCTCTTGAGGCATTTCATGTTAGATTCTGCAAGAGATATTGCGATTTTACATATAAGTTCACTAAAATTATTTATATATTCTCAAAATTCATAACAAAACATAAAGCTGTGCAATAATGCAATTGCAGAGGTTATATCCCAACCCCCAAATTAAACAGTTATTCTGCTAAAATATTCATAAATTATTATTTTCAATAAAAATACTTAATTATAGGAACCTGATATGTCAATATACATTGCTGTGGGATTTGGTTAACTCCTTTTTGTAGGATAGTTTATTTAATTACATGTTCAAATACTTTTATTCTAAAAAATTGAGAATAAATGTTAAATTACTATTGTAAAATGAAGAGTATTATGAAATGTAAATTATAAATTCACTTTTGTGTGCCATTAATTGTAACTTTAATGTGGTTTTACTCTGTAATATTCCAAGTAGGTAATAAAATTTTGGATTAAAATGTCTATGGTAAAGATTCAAATGCAATGAAATTATCAAACTGAATGCTCAGTGAGTTTTTTTTTTTTTTTTTAAATTAATGTGTATCAAAGTTTATTATCATCTCTAGTTTTGGGTCAAAACTCTTTGACAGTTGAAATAAATAATTTTATGTAACATTGGCAGTTAATTGTAGCATAAAAAAGTTAATTATTTTCATTCCGTATCAGTTTAAAATTCTGACTTCTTATTTATTAACATTAAATCTCTATTTTAGAAGAGCTACGAAAATTAAGCTGGTCTGGCATTCCTGTTAAAGTTCGCCCAGTTACATGGAAACTATTAGCTGTAAGTATTCAATTTTTCCATGTGAAATAGTGTCTAGAAACAATTTTATATAATCATTTATATAAATGATTTATTTGAAATTATGCTGAAACAGAAAATAAGTTGGCCAAAAAAGTAAAATATTACTGCACTTACCTCTCGCTTCCTCTTTTTAAGGCTGTTGGCTAAAATTTCAAGGATTTAGATCCCGCCCCCCTAAATATATAGTGCCTTTTTACCCTCCGTTCCGATTTCACCTAGTTTTTAAAAATAATTAGGTATTTATACGAACCCTTTTTTTAATATTAGGAAATTATATTATAGTATTAACTAATATTTAAAATTTGATGTGTATTTATTCTAATTGAAAAGTCTAAATTATTTTCTTAAAGCTTTATCTACAAGCAAATATATGAAAAACAGAACGAGACTGATAAGAAAATTTCATGGAATAAAAGCAAATTTTGTATATATACATGTGTGTGTGTAAGATAAAAAAAAATGAAAGCAAACTTCTAAATTTAATTCACTATAACCTTTTTATTTTCTATTTCATTTGGGAACTTCATCTATCTGTCCTAATAGTGCTTAAATCTAAACTGTGTCATTCAAATTAATCATGTGATCTTACATAACCCTTAACCCGTTCACAACGGGCACCTCTGTTACCAAAGTGTTCTCTTGGGACGGCGCATTAACCGGATACGTTGTCTTGTGGGGAAGGGCAATTCACGTTGCTAAGCCTAACTTTGGGAAAAAAATTCGTATAAATTAAATGTGTCATCCAATTGCTCCAATTTTTTGTACATTATGAGAAGAATATTCAGGCAGTTGTCAGAATTAATTTTAAACCTTTATTGTTATACTTTCCTTAAAAATTTTATAAAATACTCATTCTAGAATAATATAATTTTTCCTTTATCCCACAATTAAACATATATGGAAAAATATCCAAACAATCGCAGATTTTATTTAACACAACACATAATTAAAATTAAAAAATATTAAAAATGTCTTTCATAAAATTTCAATGTGAAAACAACGAAAAGGAAGCAATATTTCAAAAAAGGGACAGTGTATGATATTCTTTGAAACATGGGTGTATGCAAAGTCCAACGTTGCAAATGTCACAGGAATAGAATATCAGCAAATTTGACTAATTTAACATTTGTGTATCTTCTACGATCAGATAGCGCTTTCATTTTGCCATTAAAAAAATAGAACATTTAAAAAAAAAAAAAAAAAACTTTCGCTAAGCCGTACAAAATATTCGTCTCAATGCCAGAAAAATCTAACAGTAATAAAAAAGTCTCTAATAATAGAACATCTACTCCACTATACGGAGATAAAAAAATATAATTAATTAATTAAATTTAAAAGTATTCCAAAGCATCGAGAACATGTTCATTTGTTTATATGAAATGATGGAGTAAGAGCCATCACGTTACTCAACACCTACGAATTAGCATTTGTGTATATTCTTCTACATTCAGATACCTATATTGCAAAAATAAAAATAAAAAGTACCTCAAAGCATCGAGAACACGTGCATTTGTTTATATCAAATGACACAGTTAAAGAGACATTACATTGCTCAACACCCGCCCGCAAATCTCCCTCGCATTCCGAAACAAAATACCAAAAATAAAGAACATTGCATAGGAATGAAGGTACACATACTTAACTTTCGATATATTTCCCCATAACAGTCATACAGTTACATCTAGTGGCAACAAAAAATACTAATTAAACGTTCTATCTAGGTCCACCAGCGGCCGAGCGGTAAAGTCGCTGAATACTGGTAGTTCGGTCCGAGGTTCGAATCCCGCGAACGGGCTGGCTGCATAGGCGTTTTTGTGGTTTTCCCCATGCCTTGTGTGTAACGTGCATACAAGCCAGTTTCCCTTAGAAAGTCCTATACGAAGGCATCCCTCCCCTTAGGCAGATAGCCGTCGAGGCTTTGCCATAATCACACATACATATAAATGTTCTATCTAAAATATATGTGGTACGTCCGGCTATACAGTGAATTAAATGGCGATTCAAATATGACACACCCGGCCGTGAGGTAATGTTCGCTGTTGATGCATATATGACACGCCTATACCAAACAATTTAAGGCAGATGCCTCTTGACCAATCACCAAATTGCAAATCAAAACTTTTGTTTTCGTGTGCTTCCGTCTTGCATAACTACACACTTCAGCTTTGCTTCTACTGTGCTAAGATATAATTTCGCTGGCTTGCTTTCAATCTCAACAGTATCGAAAATGTAAATCTTCTGTGGAAAGGCATGACTAAAGTGCCAAGTGATTGTGGCTACAAATATCAATTGCAAATAAAAATGAAATTAAAACTGCCTCAACTACCAAGTTCTTTAGATGTTACCAAGTTAACATTATTAGCAAACTTATGCAATCAAAATTCTTCTTCAATATGGATCTAAGCACGTATCGACACTGCTCCGGCTTTTCCTTGTGCTTTTATTATTACATATATATAAACATTAAGTTATAACCAAATAAAGTAACTTGAATTTGTAAATTTATAGTAGCATCACAGTAAATAGTAATGAGAAATTTCTTAATAAACTATAATTGGGAATAGCTCAGTGTGGTATTTTGAGTTATGCATGATTAAGATGAAATAAAGCCATTTACCCATTTTGAAGAAACAAAATATTAAAACATTCCTTATAAAGCTTGCCTTATGTTTCAGTACTTTTAGCAAAAAGCAACTTTTCTGAATATTAGGTATAAAAATGTTAAATTGCACATAAAAAATTCTTTTTGCACTTTAATAAAGCAAGAAATAATGGGAAGGAGGATAATATAGTTCAGGGACATAGCACATAACTGATAGTGTGTCAAAATGCAGCTCTTCCCAGTTGATGACAACTACATAATTTGCTGACTATTCTGCGTTGCCTCTTACTTCACTAAATCATCTGGAAGAAAATAATTATATTACCATTTTAATGATAAGATTATTAAATCATTTGGTGTCTGGCAATTATTTCTGTTTGTGAACAATGGCAAAAAGCTAGAATCACTAGAAAGCTAAACTGTGTATTCTAGAGATGAAAGTGAACAACATAACCATTCATTTAGCAGTCAATGAACTTTTCTTTGACTATTTGACAGTTGGTGACCGTATTTAATGATTCCTAGAACTGATAGATTTTCATATTTTACCAAACAGAATTTTTCAAGTTAAAATAACATCAATGTATATAGTTTTGGGTTTTATAAGAATGTTTAGATGAACTAAAATTATTGAATGAATTTATATGCTCCTTGATCTTTTATTTCTCCATTTCATATGAAATACACTCAGCAAAAAATGAATGAGCTATGAACAAATTATGGCTGTATATCGGTGTAATATATATAACAAATTATGGCAGTAATCTGCATTTAGATTTAATATGAATGTTTAGATGAACTAAAATTATTGAATAAATGTATATGCTCCTTAATCTTTTATTGCTTCATTTCATATGATATACACTCAGCATTTCCATTTCAATATTCAACTGCCTAGTACTATAAAAACATGAAGAATGAGCTATGAACAAATTATGGCTGTATATTACACAATATTCAGTGTTTGTTTTTGTCCCTCTATAAAGTGTTACTTTTGTGAAAATAATTGAGAATCATGCCTATAGTTCATGAGATATTTTGTCATCAAATATTATTCTGATAAATATTTGCACATATATTTATTGTTTCTGCATTTGTATGGTTATTCTGTAGATTAGATTGATATATGCATATTATAAGAAAGACATTTTTATTAAATTTCAGGAACTAACAATTTTACGTTTTTCATGTTTTGTCTTTCTTTTCTTCCCAATTAGCTTTTCGTAGTACTTTAGTGTATTTATAAAATCAATGAAAAAAAAAAAAAAATGGAATATTTTAAAATGTTAAACAGTGTCATCTTTTTCAAATAGCAGATAAATTAATTTTCATTCACTCTGAATATATTTTAGGGTTATTTGCCTACATGTCTGGAAAGAAGAAAATCTTTCTTACAACGAAGGAAAGAGGAATACCAGTCTTTTATTAGTCGATATTATGATATTAGGAATGAAGATGTCCATCACGAGACTTACCGTCAGGTAAAAATTGTTTTAAAATTTGTATGATAAACAGGAATATTGTTCCATTTTTCAATTGAATATGTAAATTGCTCTATCATTTTTTTTTTTTTTTTTCTTCAAATTATACATAATTAGTAAAAAATTTAAGTTTGTAATGTTGAATAGTTATATTTTCTGCAAGTTGCACAATTTCTCTGTTTTCATAAACTTATTTGTTACTTAAATTTTTATTTATTTTTATTGACTATTTGATTGATTATTAATTTTTATTGACAAAGTTGCTCTTATAAAATTTTATATAGATTGAATAATAGGCTAAATATAAATAATCTTATAATTTTTATGATATAGAGAATTTTACATATTCATGAAAATATCTGATTTAATCAATAAAGGAAATGTTTGTTATATTTTGATATGAGATATATGTCTATGGTGATTATTTAATAAAAAGCTGCTGAAGTTCTGTGTAAAATTAACAATTTGTTTCTGTAATTACCTTATGATATAAATATTATAATTTTGGATGTATACACAAAAGCACAATTAGGTTGAGAATGGGAGACTATTGTGCTTTTCCCTGTATAAAGTAATTAAATGAAAAAAATTATATTTTAAAGGAATGTATAAAAATTATATGAAGATTTAAGAAATGCTGATAGAATGTGGAATTTAAAAACTTGAATAAAACTGATTACTTAAATTAAAATTTATCATTCATTATATTATCATTTTTTTATTAGGTTTTTCAGTATTTTATGTTGTACTTGCCAACAGCTCAAGAAAGGAACTGGATCATTTTATATATATACAATTGTGCATTGATGCATTAAAATAGTCCTTTTAAAGGGATACTTTTTTTTTAAGCAGAAAATATTGAAACACAGCCACATCTTGGTTAAAGCAGCTATCTGCACTACAAATTCATATGTATTTTTGAATCAAATACATAAAATAAAAATGTCTAACATGGTGAGCAGCCACCCTTTTCTTGCTTTCACATATATGTTTCTGTTGGGATTCATAAGAGATAACTCTATGGTTAACGGTGCCTGTCAAGACCATACAAACATTTCAAGGAATAGTATCAAAGAATGTATGAATGCAAAAACTCATTTATGAATGCTGATTTTCTGATCAAAATATAAATCTGGAGTGCAGTCGTTTTAAAGTTCTGTGTGCAAACTTGCTGAGGTATAAAATTAAGTTTAACCTAAATTTAGAATTATGGTTAAGGAATATAAATTAATCATTTTAACTCTCTGACTGCTCAATTTGTAGACAAAAAGTGCCCCCCTTTTTTGTTTTTGCATATTTTAAATCTATATATATTGGAGAATTGAAAAATGCATTTTTCTTTCTAGGAAATATTTTTTATGTAGATTTTTATCATGAGAAACTAAGTTGTCAGAAAAACCAATTTCAGATGTTATCACCAAAAAAAAATCTTTTTTTAAATAAATTTCTGTTGAATTGCTGATAATATCTATTTATTGTATAATATAAAAAAGTAAAATGTATAAAATTTAAGAAAATATAAAGAAAAATACCTTAGAAATGCAGTTTAGTATGATAGAGTTCAAAATAGGGCTCAAAGCAAAGTCCAACTTCACAGTCTTTGCACGAGATTCAATAAATCTAATTAATAATCAATCTAATTATGAATCTAATCAATACATCTAATTAATAACTCAATAATTTAATTAAATAACTCAGATAATCACAGAACGTTTTCTAGCAGCCATTTCTGTAAGAAAAAAGTGGCAAAAAGGGAAGTTTCAGTGGTATTACCATGTGCCTTCAAATACCGCAATTTAGTGGACAACTAACGATATCTGTTGGCCAAAATGTAAACTGAATGCCTAATACTGTATATAATTTATTCCAATGGTTAAATGAGGGGGAAATGGGATGCGCTCCTCAATAAAGGAAGAAAAACATATTCCCGCGGAAATCGCGAGATGAGCAAATTTTGCTACATTTTAGTTGCCCATGGAAATTGCAGGATGATCAGCCAGAGGGCTAATTCTGTGTTCTAATTAATTTTTTATAATTATTTTTCATTTTTTACTTGAGTATGAATAGCTTGAGATATATAATGACAAATCAAAAGTAAATGTTATTGTAAAGTAATTGTAAATACTAAAGGCAGGAACTGACACACCGCACAACATACTAGCATGGGATGATAGGTAGCTGACGCTTGAACATGTATTTACTTTTAAATTCAAGTAACAGATAAGAAATAATTATAAATATGTGGATATTTTTCTGTTGTTCTCGGGATGAGCAAATTTTGCTACATTTTAGTTGCCCGTGGAAATTGCGGGATGATCAGCCAGAGGGCTAATTCCGTGTTTTAATTAATTTTTTATAATTATTTTTCATTTTTTACTTGAGTATGAATAGCTTGAGATATATAATGACAAATCAAAAGTAAATATTATTGTAAAGTAATTGTAAATACTAAAGGCAGGAACTGACACACCGCACAACATACTAGCATGGGATGATAGGTAGCTGACGCATGAACATGTATTTACTTTTAAATTCAAGTAACAGATAAGAAATAATTATAAATATGTGGATATTTTTCTGTTGTTCTTTCAAGGAATAATATACAATAATTAATTTTATGTAGATAAAGGGAATGAAACCGCCTGAAATCCAGCATCTACAGAATAAGCAATGAATAAAAAGTTTGAGTGTGTAAAAAGATTTAAAGTAGGAAGAACAATATAACTGATGGAAGTCATTTTTTGTGTCTATTAGTATTGCAGACAAAAACTTAGGTCTAGAATCAACAAAGAAAATCAATAAATAATCTAAGAACTGGCTGCATACTTCGAAACTAGCTTTAGATGTATGCAAGCATGGTGCACAGTAGTTTGGAGATTGTAAAGTTTGTGCAAGGTGGGCTCCGAAGCAGCTTACTGATCTAAATAAGCTAAATGAAGGGGGGTTGTTATTTATTTCCTCAAACATTGCAAAATAAATTTTAGTGTCTTGTTTGTATCATATTTTACGGGTAACAAGACATGTCATCCAAATAGGCTTTTTCCAAGTTGATAATTTCTGTAAAATATGCTGTAAAATAACATTTTTTAAAACTTACAGTTCCAAAGTAAGCAAAAAAGTCCATTTTGCTGTTACATCAGCATTATAAACCACAGTCTGAATCACAAAAAATGATGTGAAAATATCAATTTTTTCCCAAACAGAAAATTCAAATACCAGTCACCGCCAAGAAAATAATGTTGGTGTTATTTTGGGGGTATTGCACTTATACTGAAATATTTCCTGGCAAATAGTAAATGATACTTTTTTTCTGAAGGTAGTAGAATGTTACACATGCATCACCATATATCGTAAAGTGATATGTTGAGCTGTTCAGAATTACTATAAAGTTATATAAAAATTGCCCTCTTCTTTTTTTTTTAAGGTATTTTTATTCAACGTTTCGATTTAGGATGTATATATATAAACTTAGGAGATAATATAATCAATTAATCAATACTGTTTAGGAAATAAATTATTTATATATATATATATATATATGTAAAATGTTAATCCTTTCAAGATGACACTCTTTTGTTTAACACGTCCCCTCGGAACAGATGGGAATCAAAAGGAATCATCCCACAGGATGAGGATTTTGCGTCTGCTAAACCTAACTTTAGAAAAGTAGATCACAAAACAAGGGTTATGTCCTAACGTCTTAATTTTTGGTGCAATTTTAGATTACTCTTTAAACTAACATGTATGTTAAAATCAACGTTTAATAATAATTTCCCTTTATTTTGAATGAAAATATATTAAAAAAAATTGCTTACTTTGAGAAATAATTTTCAGAAGCACTATTCAAATTATTCCAAAGTTTTAATTGATAAAATACATTAATGAACTTTTTAATTAATAAAAAATACAAAAAAGACTATTTACAAAAAGAAGTAACAAAATCTTTCATGTGAACAGTGAGTGAGCTCAGTCTCTGACAAACTGTCCATATTAGAATCACTAGAAATATTGCATTCTAACATTTTACAGAATGAATCATCACTCTCATTCATTCACTAATTGGCTTATTTACAATGCGACTTTATCATTCATCTGATAAATAATGCCTTCTCCGCATAATAAACTGAAGTCAAGGCTTTCTGAAATAAAAAGGAAAGTATGTGAAATATTGGCAATAAAAGCAATGCAAAGCATAATGGAACCCCACATACAAGAAAAACTATATAAAGTAGCCAAAAAAAGAATTTAAAAAAAAGATTCAAAGGGATATCAGAAACACAAATGTTTATATCACATGGCGAATTAAAGAGTCGAGTTGTTTACATTACGCTTTCCCTCCTCACCCGCAGCAGCTGACACCAATGTTATGTAGAATATGATCAAATTGAACATCAGGATTTTAAAACAATATGCAGTTCAAAAGAATTCAGGATGCCCTCTAGTGTTTTTTAAAGCGTTCCAGGACACTAGAATAAATGTGTGATGGGTGGGGAATGAACGAGAAAACCCACTGGCATGCCAGCCTGCTGGCCGGGAAATAAGTGTGTTTCTTGCTGGCATGTATACATAACATTCGACTCAAAAGGTTTAAAAGACTTTTTAGATTCCTCATGGATATTATTCCAAAACATAAAAAATCCAATTTTTGTTTTTTTCTTTAATATCTATGAAGAATCTAAAAGATCTCTTTACATTTTACTTAAATAAATTATACATTTTTTTAATAGCTGCAAACTGCACAAATGAATTTGTGTGTGTTCAATACTTTTAATTTGAATTACTCTGTTATATGTTTGTATATTAGAGATAGAGAAAGTATCTTTCTTTAATGTGTTAGTGATAGTTGAATAACTTTACGTCATATCATTTTGTAGATCCACATAGATGTACCACGTATGAGTCCACTTGTCCCATTGTTCCAACAAGAGATAGTTCAAAAGGTAGTTATAGTTTTCTGTACTTTGGCATTATACAAAAACCTTTAAAGCTTTTGCTTTTTTAACATATAGTAAAACTTTAAATGAAGAGTTTAAAATGTATTAATTCTTTACTCTTTTTTTTCTTTGAAACTGTTAATGAAATAAGTTTGGACAAATTCATCATTTTATTTAGTCAGAATAATTTCAAATAAATTTTAAACCTGTATTTTTATTTATTATTTTAAAGAAAAAACAGTATGAAATTTTCGAGTTTAAATCTATCCATATAAATGTAAAATAGCCAATATTCTGTTATTTATAAAATAGCAACATATTATTTATTCTTCTTATTAAGCACAAAACTACTGTGCGAACAGTTTTAAATCTGAGTAAAGATCTCATTATACTGACACAGCACAAAGGTTATAGGTTTATGAGTAGCAATTTTTTTTTTTTTTTTTTTTTTTTTTTTTTTTTTTGCATTGTGTATGAATTAATTTCATATACTCCCTATTTGCTTATAAATTATTTCACTTAACTGGTGTTTATTTGTATTATAGTTGTCTTATGGAGCTTCTGAAAAATTAGGATTGTAAATATTTTTATTATTATTTTATTAAATGCTTTCAAATTATAATCTTGAGTTTTCTACTGTATAGACATCCTTTTCTCAATTAAATTTTTTTTTTTTTTTTTCATTTAATGAATTACTTTTTTCTCTGTGGTTTGGTATTTTCATATAGTATATTCTTTATTTCTAAAGTTGTTTCATAAGAATAAATTGAATTTAATTAAAAAATTAAATTTAAATACATATTTAATTAAATATTCTTTGCGCCATTGCTGCAAGGAATGAAATTTAAATTTAAACAAATTTAAATTCTTAACAAATACGTATAAAAGTAAAAAAGCAAATTTAAATTCTAAAAAAAGGAAAAAAGCCAAAATAATTTAAAATAATTTTAAAAAAAAGTGCAAACCTGTATTTGATGAATAAATGATTTTGAGTTTTATACCATCTTTATGATTGGTTTTGATTTTATTATATATATAGAGAGAGAGAGAAGGAAATCTGTTGTAAATCTAACATGCCAACAAGTTCTTGAAAATGTTTATTTGTGTTTTAAAGTATTGAAGTAATAATCATGTAATGACTATATCTGTATATGCAATGATGAAATTTTTTTAACATGCAATTATACCTCTCTCCTCATTAGGCATTTGAACGCATATTGTACATATTAGCAATTCGACATCCTGCAAGTGGGTATGTTCAAGGAATGAATGATCTCGTCACTCCTTTTTATGTTGTTTTTCTCCAAGACTATATTCCACCAGGTTTGTATTCCACCTTACAAGGTATTTTCAGAAAAGTGTAAAAGTATGACATAGAGTATATTTGAATTTAGAAGAAACAAATTCCATAGAAGTAGTTTTGTTTCATTTTAGAGATATGTAGTTTCAAAGTCTTGCAACGTAATTTCAGGCCAGGAAAATAAAGGGCCAACCATGATATAAGCAAGGGCTTTTGATATGGAGTAAAAAACATAAGCAGATATATACATCATGATTAAATATCATCAAATCTGAGTGGTACCTGATGTGTGCAGGCACATAGGATAAATCGAAGCAAGGGACACTTCAGAAACATATGCCTGTTGGTAACTATGGCTGAGACACAAAAGCATGACCAGTAAGAAGATCTCTGCATACAAAGCTGTTGAAAGATGCACACATATCAAACGACAGATTGCAATATAGTATTTATGCTTCTTTGTGTGAAGCAGTAAATGGTTGTATGTTGTTATATTGCACAGCAAAGGATGCTGTGTATGTATATACAGTCAAAAGTCTTTAATCTGGACTCGTTGGCACTTTGCCGATTCCGGATTATAGATCAGCAATTTAAATCTGGTAAGATGGCATGCAGAAATTATAAAATTAAAAATATGAAACTGTAATTTATGAAATAAAGAGCAATTACGATCTAAAGGGTATCAAAATTTACAAAAAAAAAAAACTTAATATTCATTTGTTTACTTTATTATACATTTCTTTCAACGCGCGCATGCGTAAAGCGTATATTACGCATAGTCGAAATTAGAAAATTGCAACCAGAAAACTATTTGATGTGTATTTGAGGTCCAGATTATAGATCATTCCGGATTATGGACGTCCAGATTAAAGACTTTTGACTGTATATATTTCGTAATTACAAAACAATTTTTTAAAATAACATATTAAAATCAAGCCTATTATTTTCATACTTTAAGCTGCTGAAAAATTATCAGTAAAGACAAAAAGTAATAAATTTGCAACCAATTTTACAATTTACAAAGACCAAAAATTGAAATTCATAAATAATAAATTTCCAAAAATCCTATAGATGTATAAAAGAATTTTAAAACAAAAATACTTCAAACAAGTAAAACCCTAATTCAAAAAATTAATTAATTAATTAACAATAAAGAATATAAAAGAAGAGGAATTTAATCAATTTCAATGCCAATTCATCAGGGGAAAGAACATTAAATATGCACAATGTATGATGCTATTATATTGTATTTTGCTTTACGTCATTAAATGGTGCAGGTGACAGTACACACTCTTAAATCTTTGCATACTGTATCCCTCATTATATCCGTCTTAAGTTCTCAAACTGCTGATCATTAATATCAGACCAAGTGAAATTGCATTATTGAATTATGTCTAATGCTTTCAGAGATGCATGGCATCATACGGATGTTCTCAAAAAATAAATGAAAGCATGCAGTTAGATATGTTGTCACGATCAAGGGCTTCTCTTGTGCAGCTCATTTCACATGGCACCATTAAAAGAAATTGTTAGTTTTCAGTTTGGCAACCCACAGACAGAGAGAATGATTGATTAGAGACTAATTGACTGATATCTTTGTATTCCCTCAGCTGGAAGTGACATTGTGAGGTTTTGAAGATGCATATCTTCTGAATGAAAATGTGAAAATATATCAGTGTTTTGTTTCTTTTAGCCCCCATATATGTCAACGTTGTTGCACTTTTATTTCAGACCTGCTGTATATTATAATGGGTGTAAACTGAAGGCTTTATGATCTCTTTAACACTTCTTTATTATCTTCAGTAGCTGTTATCAAATAAATAATAGATTGTGATGTTTGATCCTGAAAAGTACATTTTGCTGAATGAGACTCCTGTAGTCCATTTGCTAGTATGCTCTCGATTGCTAGTGTACCATGTCGAAATATCTCGACTTTGCATGACCGCTGCTTAGATTTTTGGTACTACCTGTGTCCAGTCATCTATCAAGAACTTATGACATCTATGCCAAGGTCAGTGGCAGCTGTTTTTCAAGCCAAAGGTCATGCAATGCATATTTATTAGGTGTTCATAATGTGGCTCTTCAGTGTATATACAGTGGTGGCCAAAATTGTGGACCTGTTTTTTATACACTGCAATTACAAGTAGGAATTTTTGTAAAAATTTTTAATATTTAGTCAAGAAGCAATGACATCAAATAAAAGAATAGATTGGACACCTAGAAAGAGATGTAATATTATTGTGTTACGAGAAAGTGCGTTTTCTGTGCTGAAATTGCAAGACAGGAGGGTCATTCAGTGACTACATCTGGAGTCCGAAAGTTTTGTTTACGATATCATGAGAAAAATTCAATAAAAAACAAAGAAGGAAAAGGCCGAAAAAGATGCACCACATCTATTGATGACAGAAGAATAAAAAGACTATGTCTCCAAGATAGAAAAATGTCATCAGCGGCCATCAGAAGTGATCTGAATGATGCTGGTGTTTCTGTCAGTTCAAGAACAATCAGGAGAAGATTAACAGATGTTGGACTGAGAGGTAGAATTCCACGAAAAAAGCCTTATTTTTATTTTCAGCAAGGAAAAAAAAAAAAAAAAAAAAGACTACAGTGGGCAAAGGAACACATTAATTGGACAGATGATCAATGGTCACAAGTTATATGGCGTGATGAAACTAAGATATCGTTATTCGGTAGTGATGGGCGAAAATATGTAAGATGTATAGGAGAAGAGCTACATCCTGACTGCATTCAAGCAACTGTGAAGAACCCAGTTAGTGTTATGATTTGGTCATGCATGTCAGCAGATGGTATTGGTCGCCTTCGTGTTATCGATGGGAGACTGAATGCCAGAAAATACATTGATACTATTCTAGAACCAAAACTTCTACCTTCCATCAGAGATCTCTTTCCCAACAATGTTTCGTTTATTTTTCAGCAGGATTCTGCTCGTTGCCACACGGCCAAAATATCGAAAGAGTGGTTTCGTAGAAAGAGCATTAAATTATTGTCATGACCAGGAAACAGTCCTGACCTCAATCCTATCGAAAATTTGTGCACCGTTTGAAAACTCTTGTCCGAATGAGGTGCTCTTCAAATAAAAGGGAACTAATTGAGGCTATAATTTTTTCCTGGCATCTTGTAATAACGAAAGAAGAGCTTAAAACTCTTGTCAGCTCAATGAAACGTCGATGTGAAGCTGTAATAAAAAATAAAGGGTATCCTACTAAGTACTAATAACTCACTGCAATCATCACTATCTAATGTATATCGATAACTATTATCGTTTAACTTTTTTTTGTATTGCAAATAATTGAATTTTGTGTTTTGTATTGAATTCAGTAATAAATTCTCTTTAAAATGATATATACAAGTTTGCATTTCATGAAACGTAACGTTTTCTATAAGCATACAAAGTTCAAAAACATAAAAATTTCCAAAAGTGTCCACAATTTTGGCCACCACTGTGTATTGCATACAGATTTTCTATGCAGACTTAAATTTTTACCTAATTACAGAAATCGGAAGCATTTTATTTATGTAATGGGTAAATAAATCAAAGTGATTTTCATGGCTTTTTTATATTTTCTTCATGTTAAACAGATAACATCCCACTGAATATTATTTTTTAAATATGCCTTAGTTGAAATTTTTGCATTAAGATACATTTTTTATAATTTTTAAATTTTAGTTATTTCTGTTTAATATTAATAATATCTGAATGCAAGTAATATTTTTCTTATTGTTTTTAAGCACAATTTATCTTAACAGATGCAGATGTTGAAAGCTACGATGTAAGCAAGCTACCATCAGATTCTTTACAGCAAGTTGAAACTGACAGTTATTGGTGCATGGCAAAATTGTTAGATGGAATACAAGATAATTATACATTTGCACAGCCAGGAATTCAAAAGAAAGTGCATATGTTAAAGGAACTCATTCAAAGGATTGATGGTAGTTAAATATATTCTCACTTAATTATTTAAATATCAAATATATGTTATTGTTTTTCACATTGAAATTTGTAAGTTTCATTTTTCTGAAATTTCGCTGACTGAAATGGTGTTAAATATTTGTGTGTCTTATTGTATTTATGTCTCCTGTAAATTTGATTCTTAATTCTTAGAACATTTCTTTATAAATTTTTAAGTCATTAAGTAGTATTTAATCCAATGATTATAAAAGGCAGTTTTTTATCACGTTTTTGTGAGAAAATAAAGAATTTAGCATATTTTCAGATGTAAACTGAATTAGTAATTATAGCCCACTTAGAAAATTAATATGAGTTAGTATAGTGTAGTAGAAACTTTTCTTACTAATTAGAATGTAGATTATCTAGAATCAGGAAACACAAAATAGCTTTGATAAATAGACACAAAATAACTTTGATAGTAGTTCTGAATATCACTTTTTTCAGTCACTGCAAAGTAACTGGAAGTTGTCTGGCTGATTCCCCCCCCCTAAAATTTATATCTAGTAGATATTGCCCAACTTTTAAAATGCAGTGTATCTTCAGGGTAAAGGGAGGGGGATTCTATAAGTAAGATAATGTTCATCTGTCGAACTGGATTTCAACTGATCATCTCTAGGCTTGTAACTAACTATGTATCTTTTACACTGTACTATTGTGACTTACAAACATATATGCCTTGTGTGGGATTCGAATCCAAGCTATTTGGTACCTCATTCAGTGTCACTAACAACTATCCCATCTAGGTGACTATTCTTCAGACACTGGCCAATAAATAAGAATTTTTTTTCCTATTCTTTAAGATACTTATATAAACATAGTTTTTTTTTCTCTTCTGTCTTCAGCTAACGTTTCTGTATATTTCTTAAGTAGATGCTATGCCTTTTTGAGGCTTTCTGCACATATTTGAAAGGTCTGTATAAATTACGTTATTATAAGTGGGAACTTTTCAGTGCTATTTGGGATTTTTCAGTAAATAGAATTTTTTTTTTTTTTCTTCCAGAATACACTTTTCTGAACCGGTTAATTTAGACATAAGAAGCAATAAAGACTTATTTATGACTTATTAAATGAGCCGTTTCTTTGAGCAAATTGAAATTTATTAGCAGATTACTGACTTTTGCTTTTTGAAACTATATTATCAAAGTTTTTCAAGATCTTCACTGATGATATCTTCACAGATTTTGTTTCTTTGCAAATTTTCTGTAGTTTGTTGTACATTACCCAATTTCTGTTTGATTTCTGGTTATTGCTGAAGGACAAACATAATATCTTTGCAATAGAAATTGTGGAATTTAATGCATTTTTTCTGTGAATGACCATATTTTCATTTTTTTCATTGACTGATAATTGCTTTTGATTTTTAATTGTATTCGTTTTTAATATAGTTTCACACCTAAACACATGTTGCAGATAGAATCAATTTTAAAATGATCATAATAGGCTAATGTAACTTCTGCCGTCACAGCCTTTCTTATTCTTTCTTGAAGTGGAAGCTGCATAGTAAAAACAAGTAGCAGAACATGTGATTCTTACATACCATTCGATTTCATATTGAAAGTAAATAAATAAATAAATAAATAAACCTTTCTTTGAAAAAAGATTGAAATTTGTAGGATTAGAGGTAAAAGCATATTTTAACTTGATTTGAGAGCAGTGTGTCATTTTCATTGCACAAATATATGTTGAAAAATATCACAAATGCTTTTGCAGTATTCGAGCTGCAACAGTCCAAGAATTTCACCTGTAATGCCATGATGCCACAATGCAAATGCTCCTTCTGTTCCACATAATCATTGTCTTGTATTCCAAAAGACAACAAAAATGAACTGAGGTCCTATTTATTCCATTATACCATTATCATTTCGGACATCACGCGTGCTTTGAGCACCATAATTTTTTCAAAGTAAACATGTTAGGTCTATATCACACATGCATTTGTTTTATACGAATAACTGTTTCGGAGAATTTTTCTGCCTGGTTTACTATTGAAAGAAAGACGTGCAATTTTTTTCTTCCTTTTGAAAAAAATTGCAAGTTGTTCATTTTCAACCAATTAGCTATCGGCTTCGAATGCTATCAGTTTGTAATGGAGAACCAGTTTCCCGTTTATATGTTAACCCCAAAGGTGATCTGTGGTGATTGGCTGTTGCAACAAAGCAGAAAATTTTTCTTCCGAAACAAAGATGTGTGATAGCAGCCTTAGTCATTCAAAATAATTGTTGATCATTGAAGGAAACCATCTGGCTATTCAGAACAGGCAGTAACCAACCCTCCTGACCTGAGATCCAACTACAAACTTTTTAACCACAGTGATATTGAAGCTAAAATTACCGTAACTGCTGGCACCATATTTGCCCTTCAGTTGATCCTCGTTAAAGTGATATATAGTGTACTCATTCCAGTTATGAGGTCACAAGAGAGTCCTGTATTGTTATTTTTTGTTGTTACCTCCCTGTTCTGTAACCTATCATCGACAGTTGTAAGGCAGACACTTGAAAGCTGTGTCGCCAGGATGAAACCATGTGATCTTCCCACAGTTACACAGAGTCACCACATAATACAGACACAAAATTTACTTTCTAGAAAGAGTTACTGTAAATTTTATCCGCTCCTAAATGAGAGATAATTTGCCATGGTTTTATTTATTTCAAACTAGACCAGTGAATTGTCTTAAATCAAGGTTAAACTAAGTTAACGAAGCAAAATAAGTCAAAAATTCAATTTCTTCATTAAAATAAGACTAAAATCTATTTATATAAAAACCTCACTTTAAATTAAGAATGTAGACTCATTATTTAACATCCTCAGCCTTTTTTTTCTTTCAATTTTAGCATAAAATATATACAGAAATTTGTTATGTACAATATACATTTAGTTTTTTCTGTGTCAGTTTTGTAAATTTGTGTATCATTTAGCTTTATAATTTTAATGGAATTATGTTAGAATATTCTTAAATATAGAAAATGTTAATTTTGAACTTGTATTTTATAGTAAATTTATTGTTTTAAGCTCCTTTGCATGCCCATTTAAAAAATCATTCCATTGAGTACCTTCAGTTCTCTTTTCGATGGATGAATAATCTTCTGATGCGCGAGCTGCCTTTAAGTTGTACCATAAGGTTATGGGATACTTACCTCGTATGTATCTTTTTATTCTTCAATTTCATTGCTTTTAATGTAATTTTTTGTGTCAAAGTATATTTGAAAATTGTTTTAATATTTGAAGTCAATTAACCTAATGTATTTAACCTAATCCATCTTTTCTTTCAAGAACAAAGGAAACAAGTGATTTCAGTGTAAAGAATATAGAAACCTATTAAAAAAAACATAGTTTGGAAATGTGAAATGGCTGTTTTATTTCTGTCGAGGTTAATTACTTTATTTATTAACACAAGTATAACTATTTCTTTATTCCTGCTGCTAGCATTGAAAGGTTTAAAAAAATAATAATACTGTTTTTTAGAAATGATATATTTAATTAGTTATACTATACAGGGTGCATAGGAAAGTCCCTTAGACCTGAAAATTCTTGTGAATGGAGAGAGCTACAGCTATGCAAGTGATATAGTAAAGCGACTGGGCCCGACTTAATGGAAACGACAGCAGCTTCCCTAGTGGTGAAATTTGGAACATAGGCATTGCAAATCGAAAGTGAAAAGAGATAGAGCAAAGTTTCCAATTAGAAAGTTTTAGAGCACCAATTAACTAGTACGAAACAACATTTGGTTCATACGGATAAGATAAATTGTCACCTATATACCCAAAAATGTCCGCATTTGATGTGCGATGACTATACTCTGCATATTCACATTTTGGAAATGTAGCAGTGTGCAATTGCAAATTGTGCCATTGTATTGTACTGTAATATCTGCAAAACTTTAATTTCCAATGCATTTAAAATTTTAATTTAAAAATTTTGGCTCTTGCTTCATACAAACAGCATAATCTCAAACCTCATTATAATCTCGATGGCAGATAATAACATTAACTTGCTATCATTGTGTGACAGTTTGGTTTTGCTTTTTTTCTGTGTGTGTGTGTATGTGATGTTATCAAATTGTATTGATGTAAGTACATATATATATATTTGCAATAAAAAGGTGCATTTTTCTTAATACGTATGTCTATTCCTTTCAAACGTTTACTCAAGATGCAGTGCATGGATAGTGGACATCCTTGGGTACCAAGGTGACAGTTTATCTTATCTGTATGAAACAAATGTTTTGCTTTAATTAATTAATGCTGTAAAACTTTCTAATTAGAAATTTTGCTCCTCTTTTCTTTTTAAATTTGCAATGCTTATCTTACAAATTTTGCCTCTAGAGTAAGGTGGGCCTACGTCCCGATTTTTAACAATTTGTTCCGCGTCCCACGACATTTTAAAAAAGTCCCGATTTTTGGAAAAAATGCACAATAAGCTAGAAAATGGCAGGAGAATACGGTTTTCGGTGGCTACTTCGCCAGGATATGTGTCTTATATTCTTTTTGTTAATTTTATAATGTTAAATTTTAATAATAACAAATAATTGTTGACAACTGATTATCGAGAACTGCTTATCAAAGTTCACATTGTTGATCAGTTGTTAGAATTCGACCTCCGTTGTTTGGACTTAATGGCATTTTTTGGCATTGGCGAAAACATTTTGTAACTGTCTTCTCGGATGATACACATCATACTGCGTGCTAGTGCTAGTTAAACAAGTGATGTCAACAAATCAGCTATTCAAATAATTTAGGTACGTAATTTATTTATTTATTTCACAAACACATAAATTTTCTTGAATTTAGCAGACAGTACTCTTATTATTTATATTTTATAGTGGCGGCAAAAGGTCTAGCATCAGTCTTGAAAGTGACGCTTACGACTTACGACAAATTCAGTGGAAAATAATACAAGTTAATACTGCTATTATTTAGAAAGAATTATAGGATTAAAATTTAAATAATTTAAAAATATAGTTATTTATAACAAACAAATTAATTTAAAATTTTTAAACTAACAATAAAATATGTTCATGTAATTATGTACCTACTTACTGTGTTTTTAAGCAATATATATAGATAAAAAATTTATAATAATAGTTTATAAATTTATAATGAATTACTTCTTTAGATTTTTAACATAATGAGTAAAAACAGAAGATGCGAATTTAAAGATATTCTAAGAAGTGAATTTCCTTTTGTTAAAAAAAAAAAAAAAAAAAAAAAGCCATTACATGGTAAAATGTGAGAAATGTAATGGTGAATTTTCTATTTAGCCCGACTGGAAGAGTGATATTTCAAAGCACTCGGGGACACAGAAACATGTCTTTTCATGCTAATAATCACAATCATTCCTTCAGATCTTGTACATTACAAGTTGTCCAAAAGTTATTCAACAAAAAAAAAAAAAAAAAAAAAAAAAAGACAGCAATCTACTAAAAGATTTCACTCAAATGAGAAATATGCCAAAGAATAATTTAACACTATACATAATTTTTTAATGTATTGTATTTGTAAATTATGTTGAAATTAAAAAAAAACATATATTACAATACTATTTTTGCATTCTATGAAAATTTGTGTTGCTCCATATAGGACCAAGTTTTTAATCAAAAATCTCCCCCTCCGGGTCAATGGTGTCCCGCTTTTACCAATGTTAAAATCTGGTCACCTTGCTCTAGGGGCACTACTGTCATTTGCATTAGATTGGGTGTAGTTGCTTAACTATACCGTTACCTCACTTGCATAGCTGTAGCTCCCTCCACTCACAAGAATTTTCGGGTTAAAGGGACTTTCCTATGCACCCTGTATATTTTCTTGTATAGCACTAAAACCTGATGTCAGAAGTTAATCCTGAAGCTCCTAGGAAGAGTTGATGAATGAGATCTTGTGTAATGGGTGATGATTTATAAATAACATGTCTCATATATTGTCGCCAGTCGTCTGGACTGTGAAGCTGACATCTTTATTTAATTCAGAGATAAAAATCCACGAATTTTCACTATTTGTTGCATTTTCATTATTGTCTGATTACTGAGTAAAAATAAAATACTTTCCTGCATGACAGTATAGATTTTTTTAAACCCTTACTTTCATTCTAATTCTGTATTATTCTGATAACTTCTACAAATGAAAAAAATATATATTTTCTTGAAAAATAAAACAAAGAAACATAAAAAATATATTAATGAGTAATATAAAAAAGCATTAAAATAACTTAGAAAAAGTTATTTATGTGGTAGGCAGGAAATTTACACAGTAATGCTTTGATGAGAAAAAGGCAAACTTTTATTTGTATTTCAGAAACATATTTTTAATTGTTAAGAAAAATGAATGAGATAAAGACTAAAATAATATTAAAAAAAAGGAAGCAAATAGTTCATAATTCAAAAGTCTAGAAATGAAAAAATACAGTACATCAAATGCAAGGAATAAGAAGCATAATTTTATTGATAATTAGATATTATGAAAATATGGAGATAAGGATTCCTTTCTTTCATGCTTTCATCATGCCACTCTCAATTAAGTTTGCATTTGCAATGTGTATATGGCAACTATCCACATGAGGTTAGTTTGCACTGACATAACCTTGCTAAATATATACAGATGTGTAATTAATTAATTATTGGATATACGAAGAAAACTAAAATGTAAGTTGACTCAGATAGAGTAGCAAGTTGTCAGTGGCATTTATCTGAGTAAAACGTACTCTATTATGGCTAAACACCGAAATCCTCAAATATATTAATGCTTGTTTTTTAAAAATTTTATTGTCTTTTTTCACGGCTAGCAAAATCTGTGTAGTTTATATTTTCTGTTAATATCAGTTTCTAATTCTGTATTCTATAGAATTAAAAGTAAATTATTTGAAATTTTTCAGTTAATACAAGTAGCATATTAGTAAAGAATATTAATAGCTCTTTTATTGTAAGTAGTTGTATCACCTAAGAATTAAGTTTTCCACTTTTGATGAAAATGTAGTCATTGTGCCAAAAAAAAAGGGGGGGGAAAAGGTGAAAGGATACGTGACGCACTCAGGAAGGATCATCAAATATGATGAAAATCAGTATGAGTAATGTATTGTTACGTGCATACAAGTTTGTATTGGATTGGATGCATACAGAACTCATGATAGATTGATGAAATTAATTTTTCCAAAAGCACTTTATAGTTCTAAAACTCTTCACACACATAGTTGTACAGCCCTTCTCGGTATGATAAAACACAATCAGAAGTTACCACTTCAAACTACTAAAACCATTAAACACAAAATTATAACAAAAACCTCAAATGAGTGAATTTGTACAATGATCTCTTGATACGCTGTATTAAACTCTAAATTCAATTCCAAACTGACTTAACTGATTCTCTCTCATGTCTTGTATAGAGTTTCCTCATCCACTGAGAAATTTCCAATACCTCCGATTTCTCAAAGTTGCTCGAAGCTATACACAATTACATAGGAACAAATGATAGCCAAGTTTGGTGATTTCTCGCCTTTTTGACAAAAATGAGTCACCAAAGCCATCATCAGCTTAACCAGTTAAATGCCAATATTGCAAGATAGCTTCAGTGCAAATTCCGAGATCCGGAATGATCTAAAATCTAGACCTCAAAGCCACCACCAACTTTTAAAAAAAATTTTATTTATTTATTCTTTTTTGTGTGTGTGTTTATGCATGCACATTTGATCCCCCCCACACACACAATAAATTATGTGAAGAGTCCCGATTCTTAATTTCACTTCGGCACTAAATAAAATACCACTTATTGAAGAAACAATCATTTTAGCATAAATTTGTATGATTGATAATTTGGCTTCGTATCTGCTTGGCATACTACATCTCAAACTAAAACATTCTACATAGAAACATTCTTAATTTTACACGTACTAATACTTTATATCCCTGACGCCAACCTGGCAAATCATTATGTATTATATTTTGCTTTCATCACCGCATGTTTTATCAGCACATGACAACTTAAGTAATGACTCATGTGACAATGCTTAAACAGTTTTTTTTTATATTAGTAATTGAATAACAAAGGGTATGCTAACCTTTTATGTTGGCATTACGTTTGCCGATGATTAGAGATTTAAGTTAAATGCTAGAAATGTTGACAGAAAAAATTTAACAAAAATAATTTTCCGTATGCTAAAATAGATTTTGTTAATGGTACTCATAGGCCCTAAAGAATAAATTTAGTGTGATTTGAATTAAGAGTAACTGATTTGTTATTTGCCATAAACCCAGAACCAGCACCAGAGCCTGTATGGCCACATTGAGCAGTAGAATTTAGGGATGTCAAAGGGAGATACTTGGTAGCAGAATGGTATACCTATGGACTATAAATTTAAATTAAACTATTCTTATAGTCCATAGCTATTCACACAATCATAATCTGCTGTCACAAGCTTTGGCCTTAATTACCCTTTCTGTTGTATATTTTCCAACTGTGGAGATCCAAGTATTTGGTTATTGGTCTTGTTATCATCATCGTCATCATTTGCATTTTCAGTTTTATTGTAATTGCATATTAATTTTTTCCCATTTAAGGAGTATACATTTTGTATGTTAATTTTAATCAGAATTTTATTTTAATTCTTATTATTCTTTTAGTCTTAAAAAAAATTATATGTTTTTTGTATATTTATTGTTTTGCCCTTTTGCTGTATAAATTAGATATACATGTGGAGTAATTAATTTAGGTCATGTTGTTTATGGCTTGAAAGTTTTGTTTGAAATTAATGCCAATAAGTTTAACTTGTTTTTCTAATAATGTATAGTCAGGATTGTACTTTCTAAACAATAACTATGTAGGTATTCTGTCTATAAACCTATTTTAAGTATTTATATAACATAACAGTTTTAAAACATTTTTTTATTTTGAATTATGAGTATTTGAAGTGTTATCATTAATTTGAAATTCTTAAAATGCTTTTCTTATATTTTTAGTCTGAGCCTAATGGTTTTAGTAACTTCCATTTATACGTTTGTGCAGCATTTCTAAAATACTGGTCTTCAAAATTACGTGAAGAAACTGATTTTCAGGTAAATAACTCAATGTTTTTAATCAGTATCTATAATTTTACAGATTATCTTTTAAGTGGAAAACCCAAGAAATGGAATATTTTATCAGTATAGAAAAGAGAATTTTCTTTTGTAAAAATGTTTTAAAATTCTTTTGTTCTTTTACATAAAGAATATATGCTCATGGTTATTTGCTGTTCTTATTTACTAACTTATTCTCTCTTAAGAAAAATGTAAGATAGAAAGGTATTACAGTCAAAAGTCGTTAATCCGGACTCGTTGGGACTTCGGCGATTCCGGATTATAGATCATCAGTTTAAATCTCGTAAGATGGCACGTAGAAATTCTAAAATTAAAAATATGAAACCATAATTTATGAAATAAAGAACAATTATGATCTAAAGGGTATCAAAATTTACAAAAAAAAGCTTAATATTTATTTATTTACTTTATTAAACATTTCTTTCAATGTATGTTGTTTAAGTTGCTTCGTTTTATGTGATAATACTTTCTCTTCAATTCTATAAACAGACATAATTTTTTGTTCAGTTACAAAGTTTCGCTGTTCAAGTACCGTTAATTGCTGTGCCGAGAATACCAACTAACTTGTCAATCGAAATTTTTTCGTTTTCACTAACCTCTCTGTCACATTCTTCATGTCTTCATCCATTTTTTGCAGCAATTCCACTTTTTGTTTGATGGACATCGAAACATACTTTCATTTTGTACGATCCTTTGGGAGCTCCAGAATCGGAAATTCTATTTGACATAATCGAAAGTTCAAGTTTACTTTTACAGTATTGCTCTTACAGTCTGCAAAAAATAAGCCGGATCCAATTCGAAAATTAAGGAACAATGCAATAATCAACATTAACTGAAATAGATAATTAGATAATTTTAGCTTATACTGTTCGTTATACATAAAACACGCACGCGAAAACGTATTCTGCGCTTGTGCACACGCATATGTGCAGTCATAAAAAGTCTTCCGTGTATGTGTCAATGCGGCGCATGCGCAGAACATTTTTAGCTTTGAGATCCGGATTATGGGTGTCCGAATTAACGACTTTTGACTGTATAATATGTGTTGCATAAAATAATTACCAAAGGGAACAAACCCTGTATTACAAACTTCTTTTATGCTAATAAGTAATAAACGTACAATATGTTAATAAACTTTTCTCAGTTTTAGTAATTTCTGTTTTAATTTATGACATTTATCTCCATTAGGGTCTAATGTTAACTCTTCAGAATCTTCCAACATTACACTGGGGTGATAATGAAATTAGTGTCCTTGTTGCCGAAGCTTATAGACTGAAATATATGTTTGATGATGCACCAAATCATCTGCAACCTAGAGACAATTGAATTTGATTTCAGTTTGGAAGGATTTAAATGCTGATATGTTCATAAAAATGTGAAATGTTTTTATTATATGCACGTAAAACAAATTTGTTTATATTGCAGAATCTCTTTTTTAAAGAACTGTTTTATTACAATTGGAAATTTAGAGCTAAAAAATCTATTATCACAACAAACTGTTATCAAACATACTCATGATGTCATGTTCTTTCATAAATATTGTGAAATATATATATATATTGTATAGTTGTATATAAAATATTGATCATATAAACATTTATTTGAAATTCCTTTGTATCATTACTTTTGTATTTGTAAATATATGTTTTTAAATTGGATTTTAATGAGCACTGAAAAATTTTCTTCAATATAACATCACTCACTCAAGAAGAGTTAAATCTGTAATTTCTTAATCCTGTTTAATTTATAAAAGCATTAATATATACTGGGTGAGCCAAAAGTTCGTTAAAATTTTAAAAATTCATAAAAAAGGAAGAAATTATGGAAGAAGTGCAGTTTGTAAGAAAGGGCTCTCAAGGAAATCCAATTTTTTTAGCAGCAAAAAAATTTTCAAATGTCACTGGTACAGGATGCTGATGACCCAAAACACAATGAACAGGACAACAGTACGGCTTCATTTATTTATTCTTTCAATTACAATTGTTCAACATGGCCTCCAGAACATTGTATGGCGTAACTAAGGTGTTTCATAACGCCTGTTACAGCTGAATGTAACATGTTGGAATGAATAGCAAAAACCTTATGACAGAAGTTCAGTCAATGTTGAAGGGGATAAACAGTACACAAGTGATTTCAAATAGCCCCACAACCAGAAATCGACCGGAGTGAGGTTGGGTGACCATGGAGGCCATGCAATCTTGCCATCTTGACTGATCACCCTGTCTTCAAAATACTGAATAGGAATCGTTTTACTGCATTGGCATAGTGTGGAGGTGTGCCATTCTGCATAAAGCTTATTACAGATAACACACCTCTTTGAATGTGGGCACAACTTTGTCACGCAAAAGAGTGAGATAACACTCAGCTGTTACTGTGCACATTTTCCAGCCACATATGGAACACGCTTCTTCATAGAAGAATGGTCGGCTCAGGCAAACTCGAAGAGTTTCGCAAAAATGGGTACCTGTGTGAAGTTGCTATCCCGGCGTAATGCTTCCGACTTTCGAATTTTGTAGTTTCAAACAGTTTATGGTACATTTCGATGCAAATGAAAGTTAAGAGCAGTGATAAAAACTGGGAGAGTATGTAAAAGAGTCCAATGGAAACATCGCTGCAGTGCAGGCCATGACGAAGTACGCATGATAAGCAAATGGCATAGAGAGAGAAAAACAAAAAAGTGCCTAAAGTTCACTGAATATGAGAGTCCTCGTGTGTGTAGTTAACATAATAATAGTACGTAACATAAAGTAACATTGAATATAAAGCATAGTGAAAATTAAAATAAAATATATACAATATATACAGGTCAAACATTTACAGCAAAGACAGCAACACCAGAAAACAATCAGTATGAGATAGTGTATGGATATATTTAATTTGTGACAATTAGGTGAATGCATAAATTAAAAAGATAGTTACTGATCGAGGTACCTGAGGACCGCAAACGGTCGTTTACTATTTCTTTCAGTATTATAGTCATAGTTAAGCACTGGAATAGTGCTGTTGTTGACATTTGGAATATTTTTGTAGAATTTTTCGGCAAGGTTAGCAAAATGAACAAATAACGTTGGCATCTCAAGCTCTTGGTGAACTGCCGAGTTTCTGATGAACCATCGACAGTTCGCCGCTTGTCTAAGTAAAATATTTTGCAGTGTTTGAAGTTTCTTAATATTTGTGATACTAGCGTATCCCTAAATAGGACAAGCATATGAGAGTATGGGACGCAAAAGGGTCTTGTAAATGAGCAATTTGTTATCAGTAGAGAGAACTGAGTTTCCAGCCAGTTAAGGGGGTAAGTGTTCGTTTACGGGCACGGAACTTGGCAATAATATGTGTAATGTGTGGGGTCCAGGTGAGTCGCCTATCCAAAGTAATTCCAAGGTATTGAGCATGCTTAGTCCACTGAATAGGGGTGTCATACATGTTAATGCAGTCTTTGTTGTCGATGGTAGTTCTTTTGGTGAACCAGATGGGCTCAGATTTATCGATGTTGATCTTAACTTTCCAGGCATTGAGCCGGGACTCAAGTGTATGGATGTGTGTTGTATAGCCGAGCCAGGAGATGCATTTTTTGAGAAAATTGCCATGTCATCGGCGTACATTGCCAGGGTGGTGTGTGGTGATTGTGGTGGGACGCCAGCCTTGATAGCCCGTGGGGTAGAGTGTGAATTGTTTACACAAATGATAAAGTGTCTATCCTTAAAATAGGAGTAGGTGATGGCTGTGATGTACTCTGGGAAACCCAGAGTGATGATTTTGTACATGAGGCCCTCAAGCCAAACCCGATCAAAGGTTTTAGCTACATCGAGGAAGATGGCACTTGTAGTTTGTCGGTCTTGGAGTCCTTGTGATATCATCTCAGTGACTCTGTAGAGCTGGTGAACTGTAGAGTGCTTCTTACGAAACCCATGCTGCTGTGGGATGATGATGTTGTTTAGCTCAGTATAGGCAAAAGTTCTCTGTAGAATGATGTATTCAGCTACCTTGCTTAGCGAAGATAAGAGGCTGATGAGTCTGTAAGAAGCTGGCTCTGTAGGTGGCTTTCCAGGCTTTGGGACTGGGGTTGTGATGGCTGTCTTCCATGGCGTAGAATAGTGGCCCAGGTGAAGCATATCGTTGATAATAGCAACAAGTTTTAATAGCATGAGGGTCTCCATGCTTTTGATCATTTTGTTTGAAATTTTGTCCAGCCCAAGACTCTTGTTGACCTCTGATGGTTTGACAGGAATAATCTTGTTCGTGCGTAGCTTTGTGAGGAATTCTGTTAGTGTACTGTTAACTAAGTATTCTGTTGGAGGGTGGGAGATGTGTTTGTGCAGAATTGAGAAGCATAGTGACTCAACTTTCTTAATTTCGGTGGTGGCAATTTGTTGTTGGCCATTTAAGGGCAGAATGTTGGTGTAGCATCTCTGTAATTTTGCAGTCGCCTTCCAGACAGAGCTTTTCTCCACTGAAAGGGAAAAGAGATAGTTGGCCCAGTTGCATTGTGCGTGTTAGTGCCCTGACCTGGTGGTTTAGTCGATTTAATACAGTCTTATCCGCAGGATATCTGTACTTTTGTCATTCCTTGCGGGCAGCTTTTCTTTTTTGGATGAGCTTTTTAAGTTCAGGGTCTGTGGCTTTTTTCCTGTGAGAGATAGGAGTGTTGTTGGCATCAAGCATTTATCAGATCAGTAGTGAAGCTGGTAACCAATGCGTCTAACTCATCACCTGTGTGTACTGTTGGAATGTGTAGTGTGGGTGTTGTTTAAGGCTTTGGCATATCCTGCCCAGTTTGTAATAAAGGCCTTTTTGTGTGGTGTGCTACAATTCAAAAGTAAGAAGAATGGTTCGACAATGAAAGATGAGGTGAAACCTTACCATACTGTCAACTTGGCTGGATGCAGTGACTTCGTCATGTATTCACAAGAATTTGACGTTGTTCATATCAAGTGTTCTGGGTGTTGACATCCCCATGTAGTGTGAGGTTTGCCTCATCCATCCAGAAAATGTTGAACAACCACTGAAAGTTGCTTTCAGTTCTTGCCATAGCCCACTTGGCAAATGGATCATAGCTGTGTCTCCTGGTTGTAACTCATGCAGTGATTACAATTAATAGGAATAGAGATCCAGTATCCTTCCAGCTATGCAAGCACTGCTACTGTCATGGATGATTCCTCCACTATATTATTCATAGTGATTTCCACCGCAGTCATTCGGCCCTTTGCCAACGAGGGTCTTCCACTTCATGGTCGATCTTCCAAAGAGCCAGTTTCTTCGAACCGTTTGACATGCTTCATTATTCCAGAATATGTTATGAGGCCATTCTTTCGGTCCTTTCGCCATGTGAAATCTTCGCAATGCAACAGTTGCTGACTCTCCAATCAAATAGAACTTCACCAACAACACTTGCTCAGGTAATAACATTCTGAAAGCAAATGAGAAATCCTTCTGTATCATGTATTTTTATTGCAAGATTAATTTGCATAATTCTGCTGAATCTCTCGCAATGTCAGCACCCTCTATCGGTGACATTTTGAGCTAAATTTATTTTGCTGTTAAAAAAATCCAACTTCTTTGTGAGCCTTTTCTTGCAAACTGCACTTCTTTATCATAATTTCTTCCCCCCCTTTTTTTTTTTTTTTTTTTTTTTTTTTTGAATTTTTGGCTCATCCTGTACATATATGCAGTACAAAGTCTATAATCTGGACATCCATTATCCGGAATGATCTATAATCCCCGGACCTCAAAACCACAAACGTTTTTTTTGGTATGCTTTGAGCATGCACATTTAGCACAAAAAACGAAGCAACTTAAACAGCTTACATTGAAAGAAATGTTTAATAAAGTAAAATAAATATTAAGCTTTTTTTTTTGTAAATTTTGATACCCTTTCGATCACAATTGCTCTTTATTTCATAAATTATGGTTTCATATTTTCAATTGTATAATTTCTGCATGCCATCTTACCAGATTTTAAATTAATGATCTATAATCTGCAATCGCCGAAGTCCCGACAAGTCCGGATTATGGACTTTGTACGGTATATATATATAGAGAGAGAGAGAGATAAGAAAAGATATAATTTTAATTTTGTATTACTGGTTTTGTATACAGTGCTTTTCATTTTAAAACCAGTATATAATATAGTTTATTTCTGGCATTACAAAGCAATGCAGATTAACAGAAAACATTAATCTTTTAATTAATGAATTTAACAAATAGTTTTTGCTTTTAAAGATATTTTTACTTTTTCAATTTCTCTGTAAAATACAGTCATAAATTTTATTATTTTCCTTATGAATTAAAAAACTGACAAGCTTTTCCATAGCAGCTTGAACTTGAGTAAAAGACAACACATAGATTTTAATTAATTTTCATTTTTCATCATATCACTATTAACATCATTCTCTTTATCGGTTTTACATGTGTGCATAATTAGAAAAAATTTGTAACGCGATGTACACTCATTTAAAAAGTGTACAGTTTTTAGAAATATGTACAAAATAAATTTTTTATTCGTCACAACTGCGATCTTTGAATTTCTTTGCTCGTTGCAAATTATAGCCGCTGCATTATGTACAATTTAAAATAAAGGATTCCATCTCCACTCCTCAAAGAAAGTAATTGTTTTCACTTTTAACATACAAAATCTTAACCTAACAAAATAAAAATTTATTGATGCATTCATCTCTTTGGAACTGATGATCAAGAATGGAAGGAATGTAGAGGTAGCTCTTGACAAAGGTCACAAATGCACAAAACATTATTTATCTTCCATACACCATTGGAGATATCGGATTTCCAGATTATTGCTATTTGGCAAAGTATAAAATTACGATCGTTGTGCTTGCCGTGCAGAAAAAAAAAAAAACATTGCTTAAAATTGCTTGTGTCCCAGGAAAAGATTGGCTACTCTGCTGCCACCCCTCCCACACAGCTTTCTAGCAACTATGCTCACCACACAAAAAAGACATCAGACCAAATTATTTGTGCTGAGACAGCCAAGTCATTGTCACAGTGTTGCAGTCCAAAAGGTCCTGTATACTAACCATGGCAACAAGCAAGAACAGCATTTTACAGGTGCCATCTATCAGCAACATCTCTATTAACAGCTCTTAGCTACATAGACCAAGAGCAGTTGGTTCTCATTACTAGATGTAGATGGTGCCATGAGACCGACAAGTCTCCAAAACTAGCAATGGCACCAAACATCCATCACTACCTTGAGTTGCCACAAGCTGTTTAATATGAAAATTGCAAGAGGTATCAAAATATTCACAAGCAAAGTTCGAGTTCTTTAAATTTCCAGAGTTTTAGTTTCTAGGTTCAAATTACATGACTTTTTCTAAAACTGCCTAAACATTTTAATTTCAAATTTAGAGGTACTTATATCTAGAACTGTAACAGTGATTACTCTGATCACTCTGTATACTTCTCAAAGTTTATAACATTTATTCCTTATAAATAAATTTTATAATAATGTAATGTGTAAATCAAGCAGTTTGAAACTGTTCACTTATCAAGAAGCATGTAATAGATAATATTTTTGTTAAACATGAATAGATCTTTAAAGATCCATTCTATAATGTGCTGAGAAAAATATGTATATAAAATTACATTCATAATTAGAAAAGATTTGCTCAAAAATTCCGTTTTAAAGACATTATGAAGTTTATAAATGATTTTCCCCAAGTACTGGAAGAAATATCGGTAATGATAATTTCACATCTACAATGTAGTAACCACCCCCAAGATATGTAAGCAATGTGTTCTGTAAACACAAGGCTAATATACATTCTGCCACACAGAGCAACGTATCTCTAATATAGTAACCCCCCCCCCCCAAGATGTGTAAGCAATGTGTTCTGTAAACTCAAGCCCAATAGACATTTTGCTGCCTAGTGCAATCTCTGCAGATTCAAAATTGTGTTGCCCAGTGTCTCAATAAATTCTAAAAATTATGCTGCCTAGTGCCTCCTTTAAAGTCTAAAAATTTTGCTGTTCAGTGCTTCATTTAAAGTAAAGGGAAAAAAAAAAAAAAAAATGCCAGCAGAAGCAGACACACTGTTTGCACTGGCTCTGGCCTCTGCCCTGTGTAAACCTTTCATAACCTGAATTTCACGCAAGTTGAATTTTTGAAGTGTAATTTCATAAGAAACTACAATATTTATTAATTGTATACATTTACATGAACATCCTGTATTTACTTGGCTTTAAAATATATAAGTATAAAAATATATGAAATAAATAATTTAACATTTTTAAAATTAAGAAAAAGCACAATAGTTAATTAGACTTGCGAGAGACTTTGCATTGGAAGTGGATGGTTATGAAAAGAAACACCGTTTTCTGGCAGCATTTACACTTCTTAAGCCAAGGGTAGTTAGTTGGTAACATCTCACAAACGACTGGAGAGATGGGTGGTGATAAGCATTTTACCATTGTGTCCTAATGAAGCTAGACATAATTTTTAAAATAAAAGATTTCAAGGGAATTAATGACAACCATCTAAATACAATATTGTAAGAACTGGAAGTGTAAAACTCATAATATTCGTTAAAAAATGTTAAAAAGTTTTAAAAATTCTATTCTATAAAAGTGCGATATATAAGATTTGTATTGCAATCAGATAAAGAGAAATAAACAATGATAAAAGAAATTAAGGCAAAGTATAAGAACATTACAGTAAAAATGATCCATTTAAGTTTTTACAAATCTTGTTTAAAAGATAAAGCATTCCAGAAAAAATCACATTGCTAAATCATTTAAAAGAAATGAATTCAATTCAAAAATCTGATTTCATTGACCTGCAGTCACAAGAGGACAAAGATTATGGATTTACAGTAATTTACCAAGACTAATTAACATCTTTAAAATTAAAACAAGTGTATAAAATTGCTTGCCATCTATTGGATGTGTTGACAATATTTCCAAAGTGACGATGGTCGGGAATTCACCAGTAAATTTACCGAAGAAGTTTTATGGAATATGGTATGATCTCAGAATTATTCACGGAAACGTAAACCACGGTCAATCAAAAGGCTGAATTTGAAAGTGCAAACTAAAACTTGAAAACAAGTTATGCACCTAGTTAAAACAAATAATTCAACAAAATGTTCAGAAGGAATAAAATTTCATTTTTATAGATAAATAAACTCATCACTCTGCAATAGATCACAATCTATATGAAGCTGTGTTAAGTTAGGGCTAAAGCTGATATTTGACAATATTATATCTGACATAGTTTCTATTAAAATTAAATCCTATATTCTTCTTACTAATCAGATCAGATCCATAAGTTCATTTACCTTCATAACTTCTAACATGTAACTAGATTTCTTCAGCAAAGCAACACGAATAAGTAAATGTTGCGCAGTTAGCTTCATGGTTTTTTACATTTGGTACAGGTAGGAAAGGTTTTAATACCACAGGAATATCTGATGGTCCTGAAGTAAACTGAGCCAGAGCCGTTTGGTTCTTCCTATCACCAAGCATTACCAAAACCTGTACTGTGGTACCATGAGTGTGTCAGCAGCTGTCTCCAGGAATTGTTAATTAAAGCCTTTCTTCTCGAGTAGGTTCAGCATAAAGCTAAGGCAAAGAAGTACCCTCCTTTGCCGGTCTAAAAATCCTATAAAAACCAGGTATAAAATATGGCATTTTGAACAAACTTTTACAAGAAGTCAGTTTATTGTTTTATAAAAATCCTAGAGGCATTAAAAATTTTTTAATCAATATAACAGCCTGCGATTATTAAATTGAAAAATGAAATGTCAATTTATGTTACATAAGAATCAAACTCAATAATTTCATTCTCCTAATTTATTTTTAGTTATGATGTTAAGGCACTAAAAAACAAGAAACATATAAAGAATATTTTTATTTCATAAAATAAAAAATACTTCAGACAGTTACAACATTATAAAATTTAACATTTATATAGCATAGCTTCTGACTCTTATAAAGCACCCAGAAGAAATATTAAGAACAAAAATTTGCCTATTTATGAATAAAAATAATATGTAACCATACATATTTATATACTCATTCATACTGAAGTACAACATTAAGTACAGTAGTTTTTTGGCATACACATTTTATACAAATTACAGAGGCCATGAGTTTGTGCATTGATAACATTAAGTGGTATAACATTATTTAAATTGCAATTTTTTTTAACAGATTGTCAAGAAATTAAGTACTAGTCACTTTCTTTTATAAAAATAACTTAGTCTACATACACACACATTTTACATCATACACATACTGTCTGCACATTCAAATCTCAACAATAAGAAAAGACACATCATTCACACTATTGCAAAACCAACTCATTTGAGGAAAATAAGGTAACGATTTGCAATGTGTTTGATTTTAAGAAAACTATTGTATATGAGATAAATGAATATATGAGAATTATTGCATAGAAAGCATCTACTGGGATACACAGTGATCATGCGTGAAACACCAAAATAATAAATGCATGTAAATGAAAATAATAAAAAGTGCACATTTGTGGTTTATAATGTCGACAATATATTTTTTGTTAGTATTATTGAAAGTATGTATGCAGAATTTCTAGGACATTCTATCAAGGAATGTAAATACTGACAATATTAGTGAATCTGAAACATTAAAAGAAAACTGAAATATAAAATTTAACTAAATATATGTACGTGTATAAATATTCTAAAAATAGATTTAGACTGCAAGTACATTATTTATTGATATGACTAGCAACAGTATTTATTTAAGACTAGCAACAGCCTTTTTGGCAGCATCATCAAGATCCACGGCTGTAACAATAGGAAGCCCACTGTTAGCAAGTATAGCTTTAGCTTCTTCAACATTTGTTCCTGAAAAGAAAAATATTGTTAATTCACTTTTCTTTCTTCTCTTTAGGACTACCTTATATTGCAATAATTAGTCAATTTTCATCACTAATTTCATGTGAACTTTCTATGAAAACAGTTTTATGGGATTAGAGAAGTTGCAGTTGCAAGGGGCACCACAATTCATTAATTATTTTTTTAAAATATGGTAAAAATAGTGTCTTAAGATGAGTAGCTCCCAAAGTTTAGCTGAGATCTCCACTTCATAAATGTCACTGCTTGTTACATAGAAACATTTTTCATCTGGGCATCAATCTTTTACCACATGTTGAATTTTTAATTATGATGCAAAAACAATATTTCTGTAAATCAGTGCTGTCCAACTGGCGGCCCGCGGACAGTATCCAGCCCACCAAATTATTTTTACAGCCCGCGAGTACATTTTACTATAAATAAATTTGTTACTAAATTATTATTATTTTACTATGTGAAAATTTAAATCTAATTTGAATTTAAAGTAGATACTATTTAGTTTGCGTAACTTCATTTAACCTGGCTGAATACAGTAGCAATCCGTTTAATGTCTGATGATGGTTGGCTCAACGTTTGGCGCCACATATTATATTTGTGGTTGGTTCTTGTTTATCTATGGTTGGCGCACGTGATGCACACACTACCCTGCACTATTTGGTTGATTCATGCAATCGTGCGAGTGCAGTCTTGTCTAGAATTTGGTGAGGGATGACTGTGTTATAATATTATTAACTTAATTTCATATTTATTTATTAATTAAAATAATTATTGAATATGAGTGCTACTAATAAAAGAAAAATACACCTCTAAAATCGAGAATTTCAAGATCGTTGGGAGATAGATTATTTATTTATTCTGAACAAGAATGGTAAACCACAGTGTTTGGAATGTTTACAAATCATAGCTGTGTGTAAAGAATATAACTTGAAGCGCCATTATCTTTCCATGCATGAAGAAAAGTATCATTCGTACACGTGAGACACGAAAATACCACTGGTGAAAAAATGAGATTAGCATGCATGTCACTAATAAATTAGAAAACTTAATCAATAGTTCCTGCTATTTTTCGGTAGCACTGGATGAAAGAACAGACATTTCCAATACACGTCAAATGCTTATCTTTATAAGAACATTTAAGTTTTAAGAACAATAATAACTACAATATTACCTTCTAATCTTACAACTAAAGGCACTTTAAGCTGAATACTTCTACATGCATTGGTGATTCCTCTGGCAATAATTGCACAATTTACTATCCCACCAAAAATGTTCACTAAAACAGCTTTCACCTGTACAAAAACATAAACATTATTATCAATCTTTTATTTCTGAACGCCAATATTCATTTGTGTTTTATGAGAAAATTCCAGTTAACACAACAGATCTAAACTGATGCATTTTAGCAGTACTTCAAAGATATCTAATAATGATATAATTTATATTGTAATTTTCATATGTAAACATAAATGAATATAAAAAAAACTTCAATATATTTTGTGTTAATACATTAGTAACATTAATTATTCAAAACATTACAAACTTCAGAATTTCATATTTTTGCTACAGTTGAAAGATATTTTTAATTATAACATTAAATGTTTTACTATGTTTTATTTACTGTAAGCAAAGTAAACCTAACAGTTTAAATTTAGGAAAAACTCTAGGTTATTTGTGAGACAAGCTGATGATGGAAAAAATCTGTACATATACTTTGCTTACATTGCCTTTCATATAAGTATACAAATAATGGCATATAGTGTCATCACTAAGCAATATCAAAGGGAAAGGAAGCAATGCTTGTTATATATTTAAGATGAATACACCGAATAAGCAGAATATTTGTTCCTGAAGATGACAGATTGCATAACCTTATGACAGTTGTTCCTTATGACAGACTGCTACTAGAAATCGATGCACATTGAAGGTCGAACTATTATTGTAAAAGATAATTTTTCATTAAATAAATAAATATTCACATTCAAATAGTTTTTATAATAAATGACTAAAACATAATTGTAATTCATTGTAAAATACCGAAAATTCACTTTATTTACCAGAAAAATTATGAAATATGTCTGTACTCACATTTTCATCAGAAGTAAGAATTCGGAAAGCCTGGTACACCTGTTCCTCTTGTACCATACCACCAACATCAAGAAAATTGGCTGGATTTCCTCCATACATATGAATGATATCCATAGTTGCCATGGCAAGACCTGCTCCATTAACTAGGGAGAAAAAACTGAATTATACTGTGCATTACTACTTTCCTTAAATGACTATTTATATGAAATAATGAAAGCATTTAAGAATTTGAAAGAAATGAAAACAAGTTTTATTAAATAAATGTAATATATTAAGAAATATACAGGTGTGGTAAGATGGCTTCCCCACAAAGCAGTTTTAGGGTTGCCATAAAATGGCAAGGGAAGGCAGGGTTACCATATTTGGCAAGGAATTGTCCACTTGGCGACAAAATTATCGATATACCATGGACAGATGGAGAACCTTCTGGAACAAATTCTTAATGGTTTAGCACAGAATGTTCTCGAACACAAGCCGAAAGCTATATAAATCTCTGCTGGCCCGCAGTCAATTTGTGTGTGCCTCGTCTAGCGAGCTGATAGTCAGTCGTGAGTGAGTTTTTCGAAGTCTAGCGCCGAGTTGGTCGTCGACTGCATCGAGAGAGTCTTTCAGTGCACCGCGAATTAGTGCATTGTTGAATTTTGTCTTAGAGTGTGCTGAATTGAGAGCTATACTTTTGTGTATCGTCCAGTGCATTGCGTGGAGAGTTCGTGGAGTTCTGAGAACGACCAAGCAGAGTCAGGAGCTATGCTGTGGTGCTTTGCTGTGAAGCTGTCTTCACTGTGATAGCCTGATAACCTGGAAGCTGTGACGCTGATCGTGTCAGTGCGTTTATAGTAGATCTTTGACGACTGTAAAAGTGTTTTGGAGCTGTCCTAATTAATATTGGCTATATAAAGTGCGTTTTGATACTTCATCAAGTGTCGTTATTCACTCCAAATCTATAAACCCCGTACGAACGTGAAGGAAGAAAATAAAGTAACAACTGTTGTCAGAAAAGAAAAACACAACAACTGGTGTCAGAAGTGGGATTTGAGGGTGAATGCCAGTGACAAGAGCGATGGAAGAACAATTAAGACAGCTCTTGACTGCCTTTGCTGCATTCCAAGAAAAGATGGAAGTCGGACAGGAAGAGATGAAAGCTGGACAAGAAGCGATGAAAGTCGGAGAGGAGGAGATAAAGGCTGAGATCAAGAGCGAAATAAAAGCCATTCAAGAAAAGATGCAAGAGAAAATCGAAGAGATGGAAATGGAACAAGAAAAGAGTAAAAGCAAGATCGTGGAGCTTAAAGAAGATACCGGAGCAAAAATAGCAGCTGTGGAAGAACGACTTGAAGAAAAATTGAGAAAATTCCGGAAAGAAGTAGATGTTTGGAATGAAAACCGGACTGAGCCCAAGAACAAAGCTGAAAATTTCAAGGTTTCCCCAGTGTACTCTCATATGGTAATCAAACCAAGCACATACAATGGAAAATCATCATAGAGTGTATATCAGACCCAGTTTTCCATTGTGGCGGAAAATAACAAGTGGAATTCCCACATGAAGGCTTCCTAGTTGGCTGCATCACTCCAAGGAGATGCTGCAGACATCTTAGGGGTCTTCTCCGAAGACCAGATTTCAAACTTCAACACCTTCTCAAATGCGCTGAAAATGAGATTAGGGGAAAAGTGTGCAAAGGACTGTAGCCATCTGCAGTTGAAATCTCGCCAGCAGAAAATCACAGAAAAATTTCAAGAACTGGCGACTGACACCGAGAGGTTGGCGCATCAAGCATATCCGGACTGTCCACCTGATATCCGAGAAAATCTGGTCTTGATGCATTTCATCGATGCCATTAAGGATACTGAAATTCAGAAAGCTCTCAGATTGGCAGATCTAATAGACCTGAAATCTGCCTTGGTGAAGTTCGAGTCGGCTCAACAAGCGACTCGAAGAAATCGCCATCCTATTAGAGAGGCTCAAATAGAAGATCCAAATTTTGATATCTCGAAACTAAAAAAGAAATAAAAGAGATTCGGGAGGTGTTAAGAAGACCTAATAAAAACAATAGTGGGAAGAAAATCGTCAAGTGCTGGAACAGCACATTGGAAGGACATCTCAGCAGGAACTCTCATGTTAATCAAAACTGGAAGAGAGCTCCCATGAAACAAAACCAGGGGAACTAAAGTGTGTCAATCTCACGGGGCGGAGGTTGCCAGGCAAAGATGCAGCCCCTCTGAAAGTTCTTCAAATCTCTTCAATGAGCAGCGGAGATAATGGACTGTTCATCGAACAATACGTGAATAAGCATCCTTGTAAGATGATCATAGATACAGGAGCAAATGTAACCATCGTGAGAACAGATGTAGCTCGAAAATTGAGCGAAACATTGCGCTGGACTCTGCCCTGTGTGACTTTACAAACAGTGACAGGTGATAAGATTCCCATTGAAGGTAAAATTAACATCATTATTACCTTCGGAAATGAGACCTACCAGCACTTAGCTCTCGTCGCTAACATCACGGACAAATTAATACTCGGACTGGACTTTTTGCGGAAGTAAGACTTTACATTGGACTTTAAATGTAACGAAATATGCTCTGCAAAAGAAGATATAACTGTGTTTGAAAAGAAGAGCGGCATTCCCTCAGCTCACCAAGTAACACAAAAACAGATGTCACCATCCCTCCGATGACAGAATTATTAATAGCTGGATTAATAGCTGGATCCATAGAAAAGAACAGCCTCAGCAGATTTGGACTAATTGAATACTCTGAAAATAGCTTAAGAGGGATATTAGTGGCCTCCTCATTAGTAGACCTTTTGAAAGATTTCATCCCTGTGAGAGTGGCGAATGTTAGCCACAGACCGAGAAACATCCAAAGAGGTGAAGTGCTAGCAGCATGCACTCCAGTTACTTGTGTTTACAAAGCCCCACTTGAAATTCCAACTGAAGCAACTAGGAAATTAATGGAAGAACTTCTGCAGAGTGCAAATTTAACCCATGAACAAAGACGTGCGGCAGAGAAAACAATTAAAGAATTTGAAGATCTATTTTCTAGGTCATTCAGAGATGTTGGTCGCACAAAACTGATGCAACATCGAATTGATACGAGGGATCACTCTCCGATAAAGCAGCATCTCGGATGTTTACCATTCACAAAACAGGAAGAGGTTGAAATCTTCTGAAGGAGATGCAAGAAAATGATATTATCGAACCATTCACAAGTCCATGGGCATCTCCTATAGTTCTCGTCTGGAAGAAAGATGGCTCGACAAGATTTTGTGTCGACTACTGGAGATTAAATAATGTCACTAAGAAAGACAGCTACCCTCTTCCCAGGATTGACGATACTCTAGACAACATATCAGGACACAAGTGGTTTTCCACTCTGGACCTCAAGAGTAGATACTGGCAAATGGAAATTCATCCCGATGATAGAGAGAAAACTGCATTCACTACTGGTCAAGGACTCTGGCAATTTAAAGTTATGCCTTTTGGACTCTGTAACGCCCTTGCAACATTTGAACGCCTGATGGAGACAGTGCTTTGTGGTCTATCTTACAAATCCTGTCTGGTCTACCTAGACAACATTATTATAGTGGGCCGTACTTTCGAGGAACATCTAGAAAATATCAGGAAGGTGTTTCAGAAATTGAGAGATGCCAACCTTAAACTGAGTCCTTCAAAATGCAAGTTGTTTTGCACTGAAGTTACCTATCTCGGGCACGTCGTTTCTGCCGAAGGTATCCGCGTAGATCCAGCAAAGGTATTGGCAGTTCAGGACTGGGAACACCCTGTGGATATTCATCAACTACGGAGCTTCCTGGGACTCTGTACTTATTACAGAAGATTCGTGAAGGGGTTCTCCAACATTGCAAGGCCTCTGCATAAATTAACAGAAAGTAAACAAAAATTCGTGTGGACTCAAGGCAGCATTAACATCTACGCCTGTGCTCGCATATCCCCAGACAGACAAAGAATTTATATTGGGCACAGATGCGAACAATGAAAGTGTGGGAGCTGTCCTTTCTCAAATGATTAATGGTCAAGAGCCAATAATAGCCTTATGGAGTAAGTGCTTGTCCAAACTGGAAAGGAATTATTGCGTCACCCGTAAAGAATTGCTTGCTATCATAAAGGCCATAGAAGATTTCTTCAAAAATCCCAAAGGATAAATAGCCATATGGGTTCAAAGACTCCAGGAATATGACTTTGAGATAAAACATCGTAGAGGCTCCTCCCATGGAAATACGGATGCTTTATCCAGGAAGCCTTGTCCTGCACACTGCAGGCATTGTTCAAAAGCTGAGGCTAAGTACGGATTGGCGAATCCGAGTATCCGGCAAGTAACATCTTCAACATCAACTGATTCAGATCCATGGAGTGATGAAAATGTTAAAGAAGACCAATCAGCGGATCCTGACATTAGGCCAATAATAGAACTGAAGGAATCTTCCAGTACAAAACCGAAGCAGGACATTTCCATTTTCAGTACTGCAACTAAAAGGTACTAGGCTCTCTGGGATTCACTCCACTTCCGAAATGGAGTCTTATATCGACTATGGGAAAGCGACGATGGAACTAATAACAGATGGCAGCTGCTGCTTCCTCGAAACCGAATACCTGATGTTCTGAAGGAAATACACAGCAGCTCAACAGGAGGGTATTTCGGCTGCATGAAGACACTAAACAAGGTCCGAGAGCGCTTCTTCTGGAGTTTGGCGAGAAACGATGTTGAGAAGTGCTGCCAATCTTGTGATGCTTGTGCAGCCAGGAAAGGTCTGAAGGGACGTAGCCGAGGACGGCTGCAGCGATACAATGTAAGAGTGCCTTTCGAGCGAATTGCCCTCGACATACTTGGACCTTTTCCTCGGACCACTGACAGCAACAAATACATCTTATTATAATGGATTACTTTACGAAGTACCCAGTTCCAGATCAAGAAGCTATCACGACAGCTGAAGTTCTGTTACAGAATTGGGTGTCCAGATTTGGGACCCCCCTCCAGATTCATTCCGACCAAGGCAAGAACTTCACTTCGGCTGTGTTCAAGGGACTCTGCGACTTGTTGGAAATCAAGAAAACGCAGACAACCTCGTTACATCCACTGTCTGATGGCATGGTGAAGAGGTTTAACAGTACAATCCTGAACCACCTCTCGCTCATGGTTTCCCAAAACCAAGAAGACTGAAATTGCAAGCTACCCATGTTCCTGCTTGCTTACCTTAGTGCCATCCACGAAAGCACCGGCTATTCTCCATCACAGATGCTCTTCGGTCGTGATCTCCGATTGCCAAGTGACCTGCTCTTCGGCCGCCTTCCAAATGTACATTCCTCGCTTGAAGAATACGTGCAAGAACTCCAGGCCCGGTTGGAAACAGTAGACAGGTTTTCTCGAGAGCGGATGAACACCTTGAAGGATAGAATGAAGAAGAGATACGATGCAGGAGCCACCAATCATCAATTCCAGGAAAACGACAAGGTTTGGCTGTGGAATCCAAGTCGTCGTAAGGGCATTTCTCCCAAACTGCAGTAGCATTGGGAGGGTCCCTATACAGTCCTCAACAGATTGAATGATGTTGTGATACGGATCTGTAAATCCCCCCCCCAATTCCAAAGTCGTTCATTATGACAGATTAGCCCCACACTATGGCCATAGTACTTAGTGCTTCTCATTCTTAGGGATACCCATAATCCTTGTGCATGAGTTTTCTTACTTCGTGTCTGTGTAAAGTTTGTATGTAGTGCAAATATCTGTTTCTTTAGTTATGTTATTTGTTGGTTCTATTGCCTTTTGTTTGTATCGAGTTATGCTTCTGACCAAGGATTGTACTGTCCGGAACGTGCAGCCCTTGGGAGGGGGCAATGTTATGAAACCTACAGGTGCAGCAAGATGGCTTCTCCGCAAAGCACTTTTGCCATAAAATGGCAGGGGAAGGCAGGGTTGCCACATTTAGTGAGAAATCGCCCATTTGGTGAAATTTGGCGATATGCCATGGACGCACATGGAGAACCCTCTGGAATGAATTCTTACCAGTTTAGCCCAGAATATTCTTGAACACAAGCTGAAAGCTATATAAACCCTGCTGGTCTGCAGATAGTTAGTGTGTGCCTCATCTAGTGAGCTGATAGTCAGTCATTGAGTGAGTTTCTCGAAGTTTAGCACCAAGTTGGTTGTCGAGTGCATCGAGAGTCTTGTAGTGTATTGCGAATTAGTGCATCGTCGAGTTTTGTCTTAGGCTGCACTGAGTCGAGAGCTATACTCTTGTGTATCATCGAGTGCATCGCGAGTTGTAGCGTGGAGAGTTTCGAGCATATGTGGAGTTCCGAGAACGACCAAGCAGAATCAGAAGCTGTACTCTGGTGCTTTGCCATGAAGCTGTCTCCACTGTGATAGTCTGATAACCTGGCTGTGTTGCTGATCGCGTCAGTGTGTTTATAGTAGATCTTCGACGACTGTAAAAGTATTTTGGAGCTCCCCTAATTAATATTGGCTAAATAAAGCGTGTTTCAATACTTCATCAAGTGTCGTCATTATTCACTCCAAATCTACGAACCCCATACGAATGTGAAGGAAGAAAATAAACGTAACAACTGGTGTCAGAAAAGAAAAATGCAACAATTTTCAAATAAACATACAAGAAAATAAAAACAGAATCATCCAGATGTGATATAAATTAGAATGTGCAATTTATATGAATAAGAAAATATAATTTTAGAAAAAGGGAGTTAGCTTTTATTCAGTTAATAGAGTTACAAAATTGGGAAAAACTAATATGTTGTATTACAGTTTTCAGTTTAAATACAAGTGTTGCTCAATATGGAATACATGCACATATTGAATTAAACTAAAATGCTAAATAATGATTACTGGAAGTGTTAAGGCAACAAGAATCAGTATAATATTCATAAATTTGCAGGACTATATTGAAAGTTTTTTTAATGCAGAATCACTTTCGTGTCATGTATTGATGAAAAATGAAAACAACTATGAAATAATTTTCTTAAAGCCTGAGGGTAAAGATGGATTGGCATTGGGAAAATCTTTAAGTTCTAGTTAGCAGTCCCAATTACAGCCCACCTTTATCCTCACTTTTTAAGGAAATTACTTCACAGTTGTTTTCATTTTTCATCAAAAGATGGCACCAGTAGCTTGAGATCCTTCCTCTCATTGTTATTGCCCAAGTACATGCTTCTATCACCATTTGCACTTCTATAGCTGAAGGTAAGGTTCTATGTTTAAAACTTCAAAATTAATCCTGCAAATTTACCAATACTATGATGATTTTTGTTGCATTAACACCTCCAATACATGCATATAGTTCATAGTATCCTATGTATAGCATAACAAATATGGAGTAGCAGGTGGGCAAGACCAGAGACAATCTTAATTGGGCTTAAGGATATCCCATCAAGTGCCAAATATAACTTGATCAACAAGAGTCCAGGCAATCAATACACAATGAGAAGACATTGACGTCATAGAGTCATGCCTAGGAAATGTAGTCTTTGTGAATTCAGAAATAAACTTTTAAATATTTAACTTCGTTGCAATTAACTTTTATGCAGTGATGGCACGAAAACATCCTAATAATGGCAGTTAATATAATAAATCCACATGTATTATGTGTTATACATCATTCTTATTTAGCTCACATATGGCTTGGTAAACAATCAGTGCTTGCACCTGATATTGGAAGCAAATTCAAATATTGGAAGCAAAGGCCAAAGTGCACTTGATGTTTAGTAGTATGACATTTAGTTTCTATGTTACAGACCTCACTTCAACTTCCAGAATCACTTGTCACTTCAAGGACATAGTGGAAGCAAAGGTGCAATTATGACATTCACTAAGATACTATCTGACAGTGGTCACGAAGAGAGATAATAATCAGTCCCCTACCATTCAAAACCTATTTCAGCAACATTTAACTATCAGATTAATTAGTATAACAGCATTTCTTATAAACTTTTTCAATTTATTATTATCTGATAAAATGAAAAAAAAAAAAAAAAAAGGTTACAGAATAAACATTAAACATAATACAAAACTAACAAAATAACAGCAATTCTAAGTAAATAACAGAAATTTAAAAATTAATGTAATATTAAATTATTTAAAATATAAATTAAAAGTGGATTATCATACCACATGAAAGAAAAAAAATATACTATCAAAGCAAACTAAACCGATTACATGTAATTCTCACACATACTATGTTTTTTGATGCAGATTTTAAAGTATGAGTACAAGCATATGAAACAAAAAATGCCTGCATAATAATATATATATATAAAAACTGAAAATTTCCAATTTAAAATTATGTCTAAAGGAGCAATTTTTTAATGTTTTGCGCATTACCTTTATTTATTAAATATCATATTATTTGCACATAAACCATAAAATTCAGTTCAATACAAATGTCACAAAATAATTTTAAATGAGCCTATCTTTAGAATTTCCAATACACAGTTCCATGCACTGGAGATAAAAAGGTTCCCACCCCCATAGAATGTTGCCATTGCTCGCTTTTAAATTGTTGAGTTTGTTACTCAAAAATTCGTTAAAGTTTTACAAAATATGAAATCGATAATAAAACAAATTCCAAATTTCAAATTTGGTCTTCCACATGCCCATATTCGTAGGAGGATTAAGTCATTCAAAATTCGATGGCTCTATGTACCGTTGTTTTATCACAATACATATATTTATGCAGATTTTCCGTTATTTAATTTCTTCAAATATAATTCAGGACTCTTAACATTTGGTTGCAACAGTTTGAAGTGATTCAACACGAAATCTCAAAATGAAAACAATAGTCCTTCAGTGACAAAGTCCCTTTGTACTAAAAAAAATGGACATCAGAAGAATATTTTAAAGTTACATTTTCTGGTAGCTTTCAGGTATTTCTGAACACTGACTCACTGGTGTTAAAAGAATTGTTCAAGAATTTAGTGGTGGTAATTTTAAAACATTTTTTAAATACTATGCATCTTAACAATAACATAAAAACAAATAAATATCATTAAAATAATTCATAAACACAAAAGCTACAAATGATGGGATTCACATATTTACCCATGCATGCTATGTTCCCATCCATTCCAATGTAATTTAAGTGATATTTTGCAGCATCCACTTCCCTAGGATCACTTTCTGAATGATCATCTAAAGCAAATATGCTCTTTTGCCTGAATTCAGCATTGTCGTCGAAGTTAAATTTGGCATCAAAACAAATAACTAAAAGCAAAACAAATATGCATCATCTGTTACTAAACTCTGCAAAAAAAAACAGATATGTCTAATTCAATTTACTTAATAAAATGTTGAAAAATTTGGCACTTAAAAATAATTAGAAGAAAAAGAGATGCAGCAAAAGATGAAATAAAATACAGTGATCATCAACAAGAAAAAGATAATCTCACCCCTTTTATCTCTCGTTTCACCAAATGGATTTATTTCTATTTGAGTTGCATCTACTTTAATGAAAAGATCATAGAGCTTTTTTATTTCTTGGGCTGCCTAAAGAAAAATAATCACAGTTAAAAAAGTGTTATATAACGTAAAACAAAACATCTTGCAAATGCTTAAAATACAAAAATATAATAATGCAAGAAAAATTTAAGACAATGGAACTTCTCTTGTTCATTTTCAGTCTATGAAAATGAAAATACTTCTGATAAGATTAAAAAAAAGCATCAGTATTCATAATTACAAAGATTTTTCAAAGATAACCGCCAAGATGCCTGATTTTATTATTAGACTAAAGCATTTTATATTACATAATTCAAAAAATTATACTTCCTGCTCCTACTGCATCAACAAATTTATTTTTACAGAGCATAGTAATAAATCATAATTCAGTGTGGTTTCTTTGTTTAACTGATTACAACAAAATAAACGAAGGCATCTATTAGGCATCATGTAAATTATTACATAGGCTTGTTCTGTATTATGAAACAACTCTCCTTAAATGATTTTTTAATATTTCCAAACTGTTTACACTTTTTAATTTCCTATCTACAGCTCATACAGCATTAAAAATCAATGCTGAAATGAGGGTTTTTTGTTTTTTTTTTTTTCCTAAATGTAACTGTGATTAGTGCAGCTCATTTAAAAATTCACAGTTCAATGACATTTCTACTGGCATTCTTTAAAAAGCTCCAAATATCTTGAGTGATTAATCTAAAATTAAAGTGTTTGCAAATCAAAAAAAAAAAAAAAATAAATAAATAAATAAATAAATAAATAATAAAATAAAAGTTTAGAAATACATGTAAACTTAACCGAAGACAGTTTCTCTCAAAGAAGATTGGACGATTTTAACAGATGAATATTTTAATAAACAGCACGTATTTTTGAAATTAATAAATAAAATTTCGGTTTCCCCCTCCAAATGCAAGACCTTCAATACTTTAAAATATTATTTACATAAGAATATATTAGAAATCTGCATATTAAGTAAATTGTAATTTATTTCTGTTACAATATTTGTTGCTTATTTTGATACTTAATTTACAGTTTTATTAATATTATTGATAAACTGATGTAATACAGTTTTAAAATAGAAGAACTTATATACACTTCTACTTTAGAATTGTTCTTTAGCAGACTTCAAAAGCCTCAGATGAATTAAACCCACAATGTAAACTGAAAATGGTTATTGGCCTCTATGAGGAATATCTTAGAGAAGGTTCACTGCATGCAAATTCAATTCAGTGTTACTAAACATATATGAAATTTTCCTTATACAGAATATATTTATGCATTAACTTTAAACAAGAACAGTCAACTGATATCAAAACGTGTTAGCTAACAGATAACATGAAAAGTTAATGATGGTTTCAGTCTAATGTGAATTAATTCATACATTATCACTATTTCTAAAAAAATGCGTAACTATAATATTCTCTATGAATATCATAAGCACACAATTAAGTGATGAACCAGCTAACTAGGATTCAAAATGAAATTACTTTCATTACATTTGAAATTCCATTTTTTCACTTTTCTAGTATTACTTAAAAAAAAAAAAAAAAAAAAAAAAGAGCATAATCAAATATTTTTTCCCTTTGTTTCTTTTAGAATTAACAGAAGATAGAATTCTGGGACACTCCATGATGTCAAAAATATATACTACAATACACAATTTAACATCCGATATGAACTTAGCACTTATGAGTGCACATGGAATACTGAACTGATTCACATGCAATATAAAAAAATGAAGTTAACCTTACCTGGTGAAGGAGATCATCTTTGAATTCTAATTTTTTTGCAACATTTCTTGCTTGACTATCTGTGATACCTCTGCAGATATCAATAACTTCCTGTATGATGATAAAAGAAATATGAATTTCATACTACAGGGATATATCTAATAACTTAAATAAATAAGAATATTCAAGCCCTTTGAAATTAAGCTGTATTTAAGCAGAATTCTGATAATCTAGGACTGCTAGCTAGTCTGCAAATGCCTGCAATCTGTACTCTTTTTTTTAAAACTGCAAAGGCACTTCATTATACATCATTCGCTCTCCTGCATCTAGGAGCACGAAAAAAAAATAGAATTTTGAAAAGACAAAACTGTAATGCATTAACAATGACATATGACTATATTAAACATTAAAAAAATTAGCCTCTCAATGTCGACTGCAACAACTCTCTAGCCTGCCAATATCAAATGTATAGGGTTTCTTCCTTCAATGAGGAACATTTTAGCAAATCACCTCTATCTCAATATTCTGGTTGCACAAAGTGCACAAGGAACTGTCATATATACCAATGTGGTGCAGATGTTTAATGAGACGATCATGTTCAGTCTCTAAATGAAATGGCACAACTGTGATAGATCTGGGAGAACTCTAATCTTGCAAAAGTTGTTACTTATGTAGTACTAATCAAGGGGGCATTTGTAGCTTAAAGTGTGCTCTGGATGCAAGTAACATTAATTTTTTTGATGTAATCAAGTGTTACATTAATTTTTTTGATCTAATCAAAATTAACAAAAAAATTAGCATGGCAAATTTAACAGGAATTTTTTTTCTTATGCAAATAAACATGTTTTACAAAACAAACTAATAATATATTTTGGCTGAAGAAGGAAATTATTATTCATTATTGAAATTTCAGTACAGCCAGCTAACCTACAAAGCTCAAATAGCCAAAATACCTTAAAATTAAAAAAAAAAAAAAAAGAAAAAAAAAAAAAAGAAAGAGAAGAGAGAAAGAAAAAGAAAGAAAGAAATGAGACATTTGTAAAACCATTATAAGGCACATACAAAACTACTATTTTGAAAACCATTTATAACATCTAAACTGTAACTACAGTTATACTGCTCTCCTTCAAAAAGCTGTTTACTATACCACTCTCCTCCATTATCACTGTTCCATGAATTCATCGTTGAGACTGGATATTCCTCACAGTAAGAGAACTGAGGAGTTAGTATGAAACAACCTATGAGAGATTCCAAATTTCACAAGAGACACTTTATGAAGATTTAGATTTGGGACCAAGGGCAGAATATGAAAGGATTAATTCTGATACATATACTGAACAGGAACTAAACTGCTTTCATCTTTACCAGCATATATTTTGATCTTAATTTGTATACAATATTAGTAAAATTTTTAACCCTTTCAGGATGGGCATCCCATATACACATTCCCTAAGAACGTCTCTTACAGACGGGCGTCCCATCCACGCATCGCTAGAGGCCACATTCAGAGGACGAGTGATGCGTATACGCATTTTAAGCTGGAACATTTTTCTGAAGGCCACTAGATGACATCCTATGCCCATTACTTTTGAAATGAACACAGTTTTAGGTTCCTGACCTTGAGTTTGATATATTCTGCTTGACTTTGGTATTTTACTCATCAGCTCTTGCGAGGGTGGGGGGAGGGGAAAGCATAAACAGAGGTGAGCTCTTTAAATCGCTGCGTGCTAATGAAAACATTCGCTTGTCTGATTTATATCCAATTCCTTTTTTTATTCTATTTTTTACTTTACTAGGTCTTTTAGGGTTGGTATGTGGAGTACTGTTTCATTTTGCATTGCCTTCAGATATATTTTCGTTTCTTTTCTTTTTATTTCGGAAAGCCTCATCTCCAGGCTTTTATGGCGGGAAGGCGGTATTTATCAGAGGAAGAATACTCTCGTATGGTCAGTGGACCAATTATTAACGCAGATGAGAGTGATGATTCATTTTCTAAAGAGTTATAAAGTGATACTTTTTCTGAGAGTTAGAAAGTGATACTTCTCCATGCTTCGAGATTTACCACACTCAGTCTTCATTTTAAATTTTGTTACTTCTTACTGTAAATAGTCTTTATTGTGTTTGTTTTATTAATTTTAAATTTTATTGATGGATTTTATCAATTAAAACTTTGGAATAATTTGAATAGCGCTTCCGAAAATTATTTTACTAGATAAGCAATTTTTTAGTATATTTTCATGTAAAATAAAGAAACCAAACGTTATCAAGTGCTAATTTTAATATATATGAGAGCTCAAGTAATAATCTAAAATGATACCAAAAATTGCGATGCTAAAAGCGAAACTTTTTTTTTCCGATTTTTTTAAATAAAATTAGGCTTAGCAATGCAAAACCTCCGTCCTGTATGGTGACTGCTTCGATTCCCTTCTGTCCCGCACGAGCGTCTTAAACAAAGGTGCACCTTCGCAAAAAGGTTAAATGCTTTGGAAATCTTCTTAGTATGACTGCAAAGTAATATTGTACCATTCATCTACTAACCTGAAATATTTGTCAGAACTTAACATGCAAAAATGGTAAGTTTTTCAGCATCTAAAAGACATCATGTTATTTTAATATCTAGTCAAAGATTTGAAATAATTTAATTAACCACTTTAAAAAAGATTTAATAACAGACTTTAACAGCAGAGCATTCATACTTTATAATATTAAATCTCAGAAAAAGAACAAAATTTGTCTCCTTTACAGAGACTAGTAGAGTTTCTGATAGAAATGGAAATTTATATATATATATATATATATATATATATTATATAAACCTCAAAATGGAAATTTATATAAAGTATTCTGAGTGTTTTATACAGAAATGAGACGAAGTTCCTGTTATGAATCAATATTTATTCAAAAAGGCAATAGATTAAAAAAAAAAAAAACTAATGTCGAGAAAGATAATAAATTTTCAGGTGGGGATAGCTTGTTCCTTTCAAAAAACACGAAATTTGTAAGATCTATACATCCAGTGAAAATTTTCTATTGATAAAGAAAAAAACATTGTTGGATAAGTTCCTTTTTTCAGACTTTATAAAGAGAGGGGAAGGTGACAAACTAAAAAATATTTATAATGGGAATGAAACAACGACACACAGATCTGTCAAAGTTGGTTTGAAATTTAGCAGATGCTAATGAAACAACTGCTCATGATTCAAAAAGGAAAAAAAACATACACTATTCCCTTTTCTACTACTAAATGGGCAGCCATCCATTACATTTAGTTAGCTACTCAGTCAACAGATTTGTCTTACATTTTAAAACACTCGTAAAACATATCCTGGCTCTATCATTGGAAGATAAAACAAATATGCATATTTAGCTTTAGAAAGCTAATCACTCATAAATTTTCTGAGACACTTGGCACATTTTGTTAAATTTCCTACTTTCCTTTGAACAAATGGTTCATCATTTCATGTAATTTTATTTGACTTTGAAACACCCTGCCATAGAAACGAACCTTGACCCATTTCCCATAGGGGTGTTTTGAAGATTTACTTTTCAGTTTGCCATCTTGGCACATTTAAAGATGAACTGGCAACCCTTGGTTCACTCCTATTTGAAATATACTAGCCCTGTTGCTATAGTGACCGCCACCCGCTAGACACTGTGGCGGGACCTGTTCTTCTCATAGGCAGACAGTACTTGGATAATTTACTTACATTATTCAGTTACATCGCAAGACATGTTTGAAAATTTTATGAATGATTAGCTTCTACATAAGCCATAAATTTGAAATTCATCTCAATTACCTTTTTTTTTCATTTGTTTGCCAAATATGATTGAACTAATTCTTTATCTTGGAAAGTCTACATGTAATATGAAAAATCTAAAGGGATGAGCAATAACGGAAAAGTTAGAATACAGGCGCAAGTTTATTTAACATTAAGTAAATAAGTACCTTTGTAATTTGGCGAGATACCACCAAGCTGGCAATAGTCTTGGCAACTAAATTTTGTCGGCAAAGTTGACGAGAAATCATCAAACATCACCAAACCTTGCAATTATTTGGCGACATTTTGGTCCAGTCCCTGCATCACCACATTAGGTATTGTAATTGTTGTTGTTACTTATGTTCACTTGTCTGACAGTAACATTAGCCCAAACCCACGGAATTCCTTGTGGCAAGGAGCGCAAGATACGCCCGTCATTGGTAACAGCCATAAGCACCTTATAGGTGACAGAGAGATTTAACTCAATTCCCCCCCCCAAATTTTAATGGAGAGCATTTCAGGAAGACAGGTCCGAGTGTCTCTCACCCCTCTCCCTTTCGACCAAACCCATGGAGGTAGGAAGTAAGATGGAGAGGCTTTAACCGGTTTCCCTCATACACTGCTTTGAAGCACTGGCGATTCCTTTGTGGTGACCAAAACACTGGGTGATTTACCATTATGATCAATAGGTTTTGACATGATTGGATGTAAATATTTTGTAATTATGTTGTAAATATACATATAAATGTATATATTTCCTTTTTCTACAATATTTCAGAATCTTACATATATGAAAAAAATACATTTTTAAACAACATTTCATTCCGAATGGAATTAAATGCTATACTTTTCACAGAACAGTTTGCTCAGAACGGTTCAATTTGAATGAAATATTTTCAGACGTTTTTGTTAATTACATTAGAAAAAAAATTAAGGTAATTCAATTTTACTCAGTTAACTCTTTCGCATCGAAGTCGCCCCAAACGCCCAAACATTCAAACATCGGCTGGACGCCCGAAATGCCTGAATAATTTCCTACCCAGTGCTTTACCCCAACACGTTACTGCATTACTCATTGCTTTCAGGTGTTATTAAATCACGTGTCAATCATTCTTTTGAAGCTACTAAAAGTAGCTTCCTTGTTTCCTTTGTTCCTTCCTTTCCTTTGTTTACTGTCAGTGTTTAGCTTTTGATGCCCGAAGTTGCAATACCGTCCCAAGGGGGGACTTCACGCAGTGCCAAAGCGTCGAAGAAAGAAGTTCTCGCTTTACTTAAGTAAGGCTATTGTTAGCGCTGTAGTATTCAACTTGTCATGGGGGAAGGAAAAGCATTCCAAGAGAAATTCTTAGATAC